TTAATCCTTTTTAACAATTTTTTTTAAAAGAGATAAGATGAGATCATGACACCCCATTTGGAATTTAATTAATTAACCTGTCGAGTTCATACAGATTTAATCTCCTGATGTTTTTTTTAATCTTATCGTATGCGCAAGGTGATATTGGGTGCAGTACGTACTATTTGTAAGCAAGTCTTGCTTAAAATAATAGCAGAAGAATTAAGCAGCCGGTGACATCTCAATCAAATCAAGTAAGTCGTCGTGTAAATGCATAATTTTCACGTGGATTTGCATTGCTAATTATTAAGGTTACTGCTAGTAATCATGTTTGTGTAAATGCTGCAAGACAGAAGAAGAACAAACTCCATTTTAAATATTAGCCAAAAGAACAACCTATTGCATTTCATTAGATCGGTCTTTTATTATATGGAAATTTGGAAAATAAGGAACAATGTCTCGTTGCTCCTCGAAGCAGAGTATAACTCTGGGTTGGATAAGATTGTGACTCTTAATAAAGTGCAAACATGAAGACCTGACTTAGTCAGTATCGTCTTTCATGTTTGAATGGTTCGAAATCTCGAGATTATATATTCTTTTAATGCGTGAAATTGCTATAGGTTACGTTATGAGTGACCAAGGGGACCCATCTCAACTGGGCCGACCCATCTTTCAATGGATTTAATTCCCATGTGCCCGGTTTGTGGTCGAAAGGAAGAAACGATTGAACACTTGTTCTTCAATTGTTTAGTTGCTCGCAAATTTTGGAGGTTGCTGGGTCTGCGGGCTTTTTTGGAAACAGGCAGAGAAAAGGTCCTTTGTGGGATTTATTCGCCATGCCCTCAGCCAAGCTACGGGTTCCGAGGCCGATTACTTCATTTTACAGGTGATTTGTTTATTGTGGAGATTATGGAAGAATCGGAGTATGGTGGTGTTCCAATCAAAGCAATTACATTTCCCTGCTTTGGCTGCTCAATGGTCTCGTCAAGTTCAAGAATACGAGCAGGCTGTGTTGCTCCCTTCTGCTAACAGGATGGCGCCACCTTCTTCTACCCATTTGCAGATTTTCCAACAGGCTCCGTGTTGGCGAGCAAACTTTGATGTTGCGACTTCTACTCAGGGATTTGGAACCATTGGTTTTGTTTTGTTCGATCCATTGGGTGCTATCTTTGGAGCTGCTACTCGTCGCTACGATGATATTTCAGATCCTTATGTGCTTGAGGCTTTGGGGTTAAGAGACTGTCTTATCTATTGTTTCCAACGATAGCTACAAGGTGTCTTATTTGGTTGTGATGCCAAGTTGATTATAGATAAGTGCTTGGCTATGGATGTGGATGATAGCAAGATCGAGATGATTCTGCAAGATATTTTGGGTCTTTTAGATGGGGTGGTCAATTCTCAAGTTCAGTTCTTGGGATGAGTTTGAAATAGAGCGGTTCATTGTGTGGCCCATAAAGCACTTAGTTTGTCACCTCAAATGTTAGAGAAGTTCGACTTTTGTTCTTGGCTTCGTTCGAGGGATGCTTGATCCACTATGTGACTTTATATCTAAACAATTTCCTCTTTTGAAGAGTGAACTACAACAATGGGAAATGAACACAAACCGTACTGATTCTCAATGGCATTACGTACAAGCAGAAATCTGAATTACGAGGGAATATCAGTTTTGAGAAGCAAAATCAAACCCTACATACAGCAGAAACCAGAAAACCAAACTCTGCACAAATCGAACAACTACGAAAACGAACCACAGAGAGACCACACATCTCAACCGCGTGACCGCTGCTGCTTGCTGCCGGAGAGGCTAATGGAGCTGACCTTCATCGGCGTCGCCACGACCAAAGGAGCCTCAGGGGAGTTGCTGACGGCGTAGTTGTCGTGCATGAACCGGCTCTCCACGATCGACTCGTCCTTCAGCACGATCTTGTAGCAGTAACAGCTCTTCAGCCCCTGCTGATTCTTGTAGCAGTGGTGTCCACTGTTCTTCACCTGCTGGAAGTCCCATATCACGCTGAACTTCCCCACCGTCGCCACGATGTGGCGCTCCTGTCTACCGTTCTCAGTCACCTGAAGAAACAAAATATGACATGTTGTTAACTTCAGTGACACAGACAAAAGATCATGTTGTATTCACCGAGATGTGTATAGTTTCTAAGCGGGATTTCTCGACGAAACTTGTATGATTCATCCTTTCATCAACTAATTGCACCAAACAGTAACAAAATCCCATCTTTGCTTACAAACAAAGACTCTAATATGATGCCATAATTCAGGACTTGGATACCCATACTCGGCTAGCATTAACCTTTTACTGAAATGAAGGAAAACATTGATCGAAACAAACAAGATGACCATAGCAAGCAAGCAAGAGTAACCAACATGGCCAAGCATGAAAAACAGCAGAAGACACATAGAAAACAACACGAAAAGGCAAAAATCTAAGTAGTACTGATGAAGTAAGAAATCCTTACCCATGAGAAATGGCCGCCATGGAACTTGTTGTTGCCACCAGCCGAATGTGAATCCAGTGGCATCAACTTCAACAATCTGGGAGCTGGTATTTTATTCCCCATTCGACCACCGAATCCGGTCTTGGTCTTACCATCCTTGTCCGTAAACAGAGTGCAAATGAGAATCAAATACGTATCAGTAGTCCCCAGCACCCATTTCCCATCATATGTAACATCCACATGAGTAATGGGCGAACCAAGACCCGGGAAAGCCGTCTTGGCCTGTCTCAGTGATCTCCTCGAGTACAGCCTGATCTTCCCATCCAGTGAGCCAACAACAATGGATCCATCACCGGTACTCGCAAAGCACTGGAAATTTGTACCTCTCGAGAACTGATGCCCTTCGCTCCATTGCAGAACAGGCGAATCGTTGGCTTTACCAATGTTCTGCACAATCCCACTCTTATCCCTCATGTCCCATTGACACAACCTGTTATCATCCAATCCCAAGAATGTGCTCTCTGAAGGATCCAATTGAGAACCCTTGTTATCATTTGTGATATCCCTCATCGTAATCTCCGTCCCATCTTTCTCGAACTTCCACTCTGTCACAATCTTCCCTGTCTCAATGTCGAGCTGTTTGATCCCTGTCGAATGTGGGTTCCCGTCTTTCATGGGACTCATGAGCATCATGTTAGTCTCAGCTCTCATGAGCATCCCCTTCTTCGGGGTCGATTTCGCCAAACGAGATCCACTGTTCCTGTCATCAAAGCTCACACAAATGCCCTTGCCATGGATGCCCTTCTGATTGTTCCTGTAAACCTGAACACCCAGATCGTTGACAAGGAAACTATTGTCAAGAGCACCTAGAGTCAAGCTATGGACGCCACCGTTAGCTGCCTCCTCGAATTCCTCCATCAAATCTTGATTCGCGCGCAACGGCGTGAACTTCTCTCCGCCTTCCTCATCCTCCCACATCGAATCGTCGGCGGTCTCCGGTTTCGCCCACCCGATGAATTCCTTCCCGTACACCTTCACCTTATTCTCCTCGGTCGCCTTAAGCCCGTACACATTCTCGAACAAGCAATCGTGATACTCGTTAACGAATCTCCTGAACTCCTCGTCCGCCGAGAATCGCAACGCCCAGACACCGCTGTCGACGAAATCCACCCTCCTCTGATCCGCAAACATCTTCAATTGCATCTCCGTCGAAACCCTAGCCCTAACTTTCGCCCCGACCCGGAGAATCCAGAACGAATTGTTCTTACCTCCACCGCTGGAAGATCCTCCTTCGTCCTCATCGTCCTCCCCTCCGCCGCCGCTCTTCACGAAGGCGTACGGAGCCGACTTCTCGGAGACGATCCACTTCGCCTTGGGACTGTTTCCGCCTAAGTGGAGGTAGAGCTTGACGCGACGCTCGCCACTTCCCTGAGCGGAGGCGTCGCCGTATTTGAGCTTCAGAGATTTCAATTTGGTGTCGATTTCGTCGATCGTCCGGTTCGAGGAAGTCGTTTGAGGCGTCTCCTGGCGCTCGACGGCGTCGTAGTGAACATCCTCGTACTCTTCTTCTTCTTCTTCTTCGTCGTCGCGATCCTCTGTTTCGGAGTGGTAGTCGTCGGAGTCGGAGAGGTCTGCGCCTTCGCGGCTGTGAGAAGTTCCCATGGTGAGTTTCGCGGGGAGAGAGACGGAGACGGAGACGAAGAAGGAATTCTTCTGCGAGCTCGTTGAGATTTTCTTCTGTGTTGATCGTTTTCGCGAAATGGCAAAAAGTTTTCTGGAATTCTTCAGACAAAGTGTGTGTGTTTCTGAAAAGGGGAAGAGAGACGGTGGGGACTAGCTAGGCAGATATACATACACGGAAATTCATGGCCAGTAGGTGGGATGACTGGTGATAGCCGGTTTCCCAGGCTGGGGCTTAGGAATGGCAATGGGGCAGGTCCGGGGCAGGTATCTCGATACCCATACCCGCTCCATGGCAGGTCGGGTCCAGGTCGGGTAATTTATCACGGGGCGCGGGTCGGGGCAGGTCGACCCATTGAGTATGTAATTTATGTGAAAACATTAGAAATATTCATTCTTTTCATTGAAAAACCAAGAAAGAAACCATAATATGATAAAATGTTGTTAAATTACTGAAGAAATTGAGGTTTTCACTTATTTACAACTTTATTATAGCTAAAATATAATGTAATAAGAGGAAAATCTTAAGTAATTTGACTAAGATTATATGTAATTTAGGCAAGAATAAGTCCAGAATGGGGCGGGTCAGGGCAGGTCGGGTCGATGAGAGGTACCCATGTTCGCCCTGCCCCGCCCCGCCTACGGGGCGGGTTTGACCCGCTCCAAAACAGGTCAAACAGGTCGGGTAAATCGGATCAGGTCGAAATTACCATCCCTACGAAAGCGTAGCTGGGCCTACTAAAACAAACCGTTTCGAGTTTCGATCTTGTCCCGTGGTCCGCCCTCGCTCAAAGTACGGAGCGTGAACCAATATGGCAATTTTAAACCCTAAATTCCCAATCCTCTTTATCACCCGTACTCACTCTCTCGCCGGCCACCGAGCAGAAACATCGCCGCCGTCGGAGGTTTAACCATTCGGCGTCTCGGATCCTCCCCGGCGTCTTCACTCTCCTCCTCCAATCCTTCTGGGTTGCGCATCGAACCGGAACTTCGATTTCTCCCCATAACTTGAAGAGCTGAAAAGTTGCAAACAAATTCAACCATGAAGGTCTTCCAAATCGACGGAAACAACACTCTTTCTCTCGCCCTCTTCGCCGAAGTCGCCAATTCCAAGTAACGATTCTCCCACAATTTTTTCCTTCTCCTCCTGTTTCACTGTCCATTATGTGCCTTGTTTGCTTCTCGTTGCTGCTGTATGGAAATTGCTTTGGAAATGTTCTAGCTGGGTTAAGCACTAAATCAGTTACAGGATGTCCTGAAACTTGATAACGGTTCTAGCTAGTACTGTGGATGATTGTCTTTGTGATGGTAATTAGAAAGGAAAATGGTGATTATGGACTTGACTAAGCTACCTAACAATGAACCTATTGGCTTTCATGTCTAGCAGTCTCAGAAAGTTCGGCATTAGAGAAAGCTACAGTTTGATGGTCATGGAAGAGAAATTTGATCTCCTTCTTTTACTCATACGTTGTACTGCTACAGTTTTTATCATTAACGAGTTCTTGCCACATTGGACATTAAGCTCACTGTAAAGCTCCTTATCCTGCAGGGAGCTTCTTGATTCTATGCAAGCTGGGAATCTGGAGCTGGAAGTTTCGTTTATGAATGCATCACTTGTATGCTTCTTTTCGACATTCATTATCCGAAAAACTCCTTCAATATCGTTTTTTAATCATCTGACTTTTCTGATCGATTGCATTCCATTATGGCAGATCCCCGATGTTTTCCCTATTCTCGCTGCAGCACACAAGGCGTTTGTGTCAAAGTCTCGGGATTCATTGACAACCCGAACGCTTCATTCTGAGCTTGTCTACAATATCTCAGGATCCAAGCATGTAAATCCCCCGATGACTAGTTTACATAACTTCGTCTTTTGTTTACCTTTCCCTAGTTCAAAGCTCCAATTAATCACTGCACTGCTATGTGTATTACATTCTTCTGACTGTACCAGATTACAGAGTCCTTGAAACGATGTGGTATCTCAGACAGCTGCACGTATGTCCTCGCAGCTCGCTTCAATGCCTCGCCGGAAGATGTAAGCTTTTCCTCATTTCTAAGAAAAACTAATGCAGTTATTGCCTTTAAGATCCATAGATTTCTATCCACAAAGATCATGACCGTAATGTAAGCTTTTCCTGCATCTCGCTTCAGATGAAAGTGGTAGAAATGTCGACTTGGAGGAGCTGGAGAGCAGAGCAAACCAAGCTCAAATCCTCAAGGTTGGTATAGAAACTAGTGCCTGGCTCTTAACTAGACGTGTATATAGATAATAATATCGACATATCGTTGCTTTCAAGCTACCGATAACCATACACGATTGCTTCGTAATATGTTGTTTCAGCATTACAAAATCTCTGCGATGGAGCTAGGGATTTCCTCACTTGCTGATGCCATTACATGCCGAATAGCTTCCCGGGATGCCTTGTGAGGAAAGATAAGGGCGTATTGTGCTTGAAGTAGTCGAAGGCCACTGTGTGCATCCATAAACCAGCTATCTTTTTATCTTAGTAGGCTGCAGTTTAGGGGTCGTTTGGATGAGGAATTCTAATGGATCAATCTGACACAATTGTCTCGTTTTGAGTCAATTGTGCCAGATTGATCCGTTTGGCAGCAGAAAATTTGGATGAAGCAATTTGGGCTGGGGAATTCTGAATTGACTCATTTTGAGCCAATTACAATTGTCTGGGGTGGGGGCAGGTAATCTGAATTGACTCGTTTTAAATGACTCGTTTTGTAAAATGAAACAATTGGTCAAATTGTCTCGTTTTACAATTGATCCATCCAAACGACCCCTTAATGCTTGGCTCTGTAGAGTAAAAGAATGTGAGTTATTATATGCTTGGGGATGAAGAAATGTTGGCGAACTAGGCGGCCGATTTTTCCCCGCGTCTTTTATTTGTCCGTTATTATCGTTACATTGAGATATATTGTATACCGAGCCATCCAAACACGGTGTTGACACGTGGATGGGACAGCGGCAACCGCTTGCTTCAGTATGAAGCAAGAGGCGGGGACGTCGTTTTGACGCTGCTAGAACCGGGAACAGCCGGTGATTCTCCCTATTGCCGCCGCTCCTTTTTTCTTTTTGCTCCCCGTTCTTTTTTCAAATTACACTCTGTAGGTTCTTTTGGAATGTCTATCAGATGAGTGACAGGATGCCTCACTATGATCATATTGTCTTTTTGACTGATTTTTCCAGACATTTTGTTCTGATTTAATAATAATACATACGTTTGGGCATTTTCTAATCAGAGGAGTTAACAACAACATTTTGAATTTGACCTTTGGCAGGTACAGTTGCATTTCTTAGAAGTATATCGCTTGAAGCTGTTGGACTTGGAGTGCATTTGGCTGCAGGAGCCCATGATATCTTACTCCAAGCCGAGTACATCCTCACGGCTGTTCCTTCTCGTCAGGTATCGTCATCGTCTTCCACCGCACAGGGTAAAAAGAAGTCGAATGTACGAAGCAATCAGCCAAAAGATGCCCAGGAAGGAATGCAACAGGTGAGGGTTGTAGTAGTAGAACTTTCTGCATTTCAATACTGAAGAAGGCTATCCTCATTACAGCTACAAAGGTTCTGATCTTTCTAATGTTTATTCACAGGCATATTCGAACCTAAGTGATGGCCTGGGGAAATCGGCTTCTGCATTAGTTCGGACACCGTTGAAAAAATACCAATACGGGGCCAGTGCTGGGTCTGCCTTGGCCACTGCAGTACGGGGAATTCCTGCTGCTGCTATAGCTCCGGTCTCTGCTTGTGCAAGTGCTGCGCATTCTGCTCTTCTCGGCCTTAGAAATAGGTGAGAGCTCTACACCCTCTTCACCTCTCTTTTATAAATCTCATCTCTCTTGTCTTGATTTTGTTTAAAACCTCTGGGTAATTAACTCTACTGAGGTTTCCTGCAGCCTCGACCCTGAGCACAAGAAAGAATCGATGGAGAAATATCTAGGACCAACTCAGACACACAACAGAGATTGAAGGCCAAATGATAAGTCACCACGATGTGCCTGCCCTCGTCTCCTCCTGGGAATATAATCGATGGTGGGATCTCGGCTGACACCCTGAGAGAAAAAATCAAAAGTGAATTGGAACGCAGAGATCTCTCAAAATCATAAGTTTCGTATTAACATCCGAGCTTTCCTGAAGAAGCCGCAAATGGTTTCGTAGCTTGAGAATATCTGTCAGTTCAAGTTCCCGCACCCCGGTTTTCAGGTGTACAGATGTATATAAACCATCTACCTGCGCATCCTTTTGCGGCAAACATAGCAACTCTTGTACATTCGTTGTAGTTAAATTCGTGCTTGTTGCACAGGAGGGTGTTCATTTATCCGGTTAACCAATGAATGTAATTATTTTGAATGCTTGGCAGTCTGTTATTCTTTCTTTTGTTTTCGGTTTAAACTACAGGACTCGAGCATTGATTCTGCTGGAATTGCGATGTAAATGGCCTGGAATGTGTCTGTCATTGTACATAAAGCTGTAGGGAAGATTGATCCGTGTGTTTGATTGGTAATAGTGTGGAGTATGTGCATATTATGAGAATGAGACACAAACTAAAGGGAAGATTGATCTCTTTCTCTTTTTAAACATACTAAGGTGAATTAGATCAAATCATGAGCAAATATATAAGCTCTGACCTATTATCTTTGGTTGCACTTACACCGCTTTTTTTTTTTTATGGTTGCATCGTAGTATTGGCTTACTGACTACTCTATTTCGCTTTATATATGAGTTTGGAAGAATAAATTTCACATATTCATCTTTCAACACGCTGCAAGTCAAAAACTTCCATACAAGCTGGTGACCCAAAATTTCTTTAGGTACAGCTTGCACGGATTTGCAACGTAATTTGTGAACTAAAATTTTCAATACTGACCTATTACCATTTTCATCACCAACGGTCGTTGTAGTATAGTGTAGGGATGGCAATCAAACCCATGGCCGCGGGTATCCGACCGCCCCCGACCCAGTCAACGCGGGGAATCCCCGTATTGACTGGGTATGGGGCGGGTATGGGTAAAACCCGCAAAACGTTTGATGGGTATGGGGCGGGTATGGTTTTAGCCTCCCCCGCCCCATACCCATACCCATACCCGCCCCACTAAGAACATTTCTTCACATATAACAAATATATGAATAAAATTGTGATATATGATGATAGTGAGGGTACCTCAAGAAAATAAATATTAGAAATGCAATTGAGTGAACACCCAAATCAAAACATAATTCCTTTTCGTCAACTCTCCCTTCACTCTTTCACTTTTCCCCTCGTGTTTACTAGATTTTGTTAGTTTGTTATTAGTTAGTAGATGTATCAGAGTCAGAGAAGAATGATTTGTATTACATTATATTGTACTCTATCTTATGGATTAATGGATTGTTTAGGATAAGATGCTTTGAATCGTATAAAGAATGATAGTCTTTTTGTCAACTTCACGATAGTAGATGCGTTTAATGTTATAATTGAGAACGTACATTTAAAATTTTAGGTATTATAATGTCGGATGTACGGGGCGGATATTACCCATGGGTACCCGAAACCCACGGATATGGGGATGGGTTTGCAAAACCTTCCCCGCATGGGTATGTGGCGGGTATGGGTATAGATATTTGATAGCGGGTATGGGGATGGTTGAGACAAATCCGCCCAAACCCACCCAATTGCCATCCCTAGTATAGTGGTAAGTATTCCCGCCTGTCACCCCGGTGACCCGGGTTCGATCCCCGGCAACGGCGTAATAATTTTTTTTCCGTCCAAACGAATCATTTCACCACTCACGCCGTTAAATTTAGGTAATGCGGCGTCGTTTCCGGCCTCGCTCCCCTGCTTCCTTAGTTAGGGCGAAGCAGACAGACTCGCTCCCGTAATCTTCATCACTCTCTCCACTCCCGACTCCGGCGATCTTCTCTCTTCGACAACGCCGAACATCAGCCGCTCGCCGGCGCCGTCGCTACTACCTATTTCCCCGCCCGTAGTCCTTTGTCCTCCTTCCACTTCGTCGTCTTTCTCTTCAACCTCGGTCACCCCGTATACTGTGTTGGCTTCTGCCTCCCCATTCCAGCCGGGGGAGGGGGTTTAACTAGGGTTTTTAATTTCAATCTCCGTCCAGCAAAAAAATGGCGTCTCTCATGGCGATGCGCGGCTCGCGAGCGACGCTCTCTTCTTCGTTACTTCCACACCTCTCCCACTCTCCCTTCGTTAGAACCCTAACTGCGGCCAGAACCCTGAGCACTACTTCGGCCGTTCCCAATGAGTTCCACCGCCCAGCACCGTCTCACTCCGAGCCTAGGGGTTTCCATGGCGAGAGGCATACTGATCAGGTGCCCCGCTGGGATAATAGAGTACCTCCTCCGCCTCAGCAGTTCAATTCGCCGCCGCAACAGCGAGGACACGATAACCAGTGGCACCATCCTCAGCAGAACCCTCCGCAGCAGTTCAATTCGCCGCAGCGACAGCAAGGAAACCATAACCAGTGGCACCACCCACAGCAGAACCCTCCGCCACATATGGGAGGAGAGCAGGGTAATTTTCCGGACCGAAGGCAGAATTTGAACCAGGGGTTTCCCAATAGAGGGTATCCCAATCCTGATCAGGGATACCCTAATCGTGGTTTCAATCAGCAGCAGCAGCATCAGCAGCATCCGCCTCCTCAAGGGGGCCCTGTTCATTGGAATTCTCCAGGTGGTCAGAGCGGTCCTCAGCATCATAATGCCCCACAGGTGAACGGTAATGTCCAGAACTATGGGCAACGGGGAGTTCCGAATCAGTGGAATAACCAAGTCCAAGTGCAGCACCCTCGACCGGGATATTTCGTTGCTGAACCTGTTAATTCTGATCCAGTGCCTTCGTTAGCTGATTTGTTGAATTTGTGCGGTGAAGGGAAGGTCAAGGAAGCAATCGAGTTGATGGATAAAGGCCTTAGAGCTGATTACGCTTGCTTCGATTCTCTATTTGGGTTGTGTAGCAAACTCGAGGATGCCAAGAAAGTGCATGACTACCTTCTGCAATCGACTTGCAGGGGTGATCTGATGTTGAACAATAAGGTGATTGAGATGTATGGCAGATGCGAGAGTATGACTGATGCTCGTAGGGTGTTTGATCACATGCCGGAAAGAAACATGGATACCTGGCACTTGATGATCCATGGTTATGCAAACAACAACTTGGGGGATGAAGGTTTGCAGTTTTTTGAGCAGATGAGGAAGCTAGATCTCAAACCCACAGAAGAAACGTTCCTCGCTGTTCTATCAGCCTGTGGCAGTGCAGATGCCGTGGATGAGGCATTCATCCATTTCAAGTTGATGAAGAGCGATTTTGGGATCGATCCACAAATGAAACACTATGTTGGAATGATTGATGTGCTTGGGAAATGTGGTTTTCTCAACGAAATTGAACAGTACATTGAGAAACTGCCATTTGATCCCTCTGTGGAAATCTGGGAGAAGTACATGAACTATGCTCGAATCCATGGAGATGTGGATCTTGAAGATCGCCTCGAAGAACTGATTGTTTCCATGGATCCCTCTAAGGCAGTGGCTAAAAAGATTCCTACGCCACCTCCAGTGAAGCGTACTGCAGTCAGCATGCTGGAAGGGAAGAGTAGAATAGCAGAGTACCGTTATCCTGCTCTCTACAAGGACGATCCAAAACTCAAGGAAATGATGGAGTTGAAGAACTCGGGTTATGTCCCAGACACCAGATATGTTCTCCATGACATTGATCAAGAGGCAAAAGAGCAAGCTTTATTGTACCATAGTGAGAGGCTGGCGATTGCTTATGGACTGATCAGCACTCCTGCGAGGACGACACTGAGGATCATAAAGAACCTCCGGATATGCGGCGACTGTCACAATGCCATCAAGATTATGTCCAGGATTGTGGGGAGGGAGTTGATCGTTAGGGATAATAAGAGGTTTCATCACTTCAGGGATGGCAAGTGCTCTTGTGGAGATTACTGGTGAGTGGTGATTACTGAAACAAGATTCCTGAGAACATTGTAGTTACCTAGTTTATTCACTTTGTTCTGTTTACTGGGACCTTGTTTATAAAATTGCTCGAGCTGCTCATGGTCTGAACGACTACTTCTGCTGCTTATGATCATGTATATTGTCAGTTTAACGATTATGTCGATATATGTTCTTATTAGTGCCAACATATCCACACCTGTTTTTCAAACGAAATACCTGATGCGACCTGCATAGAATGCAAAGCTGGTATACGTACTGAATTATTTATCCACCTCTGATTTAGCATTCATAATTCAGATTTCATTTTTGATTGAAACTGTTTGATGAAGTACGAGAAAGCACACGTTTATTTATGAACTTTCAACGAGATCACGCCCCATGGAACCAAGCGTTTTGTACATGAGATATCACTGAAGATACAAGGAGAACTGATAAAGAAGAAAACAACTCTAATGAAACAAGTTTAGATTTCAGAGGCCATCAGAAGAACACTAAGCAAAGATTCGCACAACAAACCCACAGCCATGGTCAGTTATTACGCACGAGGGTACGAGTCATCATGGTGGTGAACTCATCCATGTTAACCAGCCCATCTCCGTCGTTGTCCACTGCCCTAACCATCCTCCGACAGTCCTCGAGGCTGCACCGGTCCCCGAGCTGCCTCAGAACTCCCATGACTTCCTCTGCACTTATCCTCCCATCTCCATTAGCGTCAAACGTCCTGAAGGCACTCTGCAAATCCATCGTTTGAACGCCTCCTTCCTTCCTCTGAGCTTCAACAAACTCATTGAAATCGATAAACCCATCTCCATCCAGGTCGGCCACCTTGAAGATCTTGGGCACGTCGGGAATCATGGACTGCTGCCCTAGAGCCCTCAGCACGGCCTTGTACTCCTGCTGAGATATCTTGCCATCTCCATTGGAATCGAATTTGTTGAACACTTGTCTCATCTCCTTCACATTTGGCTGCAACCTTATTGGTACACTGCTGCTTGAGGTCTGCCTGCTGTGCGAGGAGAACATCCGAGAAGGTTTTCGGAGGAACTTGTTGTTAGAGAGCTTGTACTGAAACTCCAGAAAGCTTACGTTCGACATAGGATTTTTTGCAGCAATGGAAGTTCTAAGATGGAGAAGATGTTAAGTGCAATTCTAATGTATGAACTCCATGCATATTTATAAAGGAAGGTGGAAAGCAAAGAATAAAGTAAAGAGGGCTTTCTTTTATTCCTGAGATCAACCTGCGAGGAACCTCTTCAAGAGATGTACATATGGAAAAAGAAAGCTGTGGTTGAAGAAGCTCAACGGAAAGAATAGATTCCTTTTCAAAAAGGTTAACAAATTTGAAGCCCTTTGCCCATCACTTTTTGCCCTATATTCTCCATGTCAAGATATGCTTGTCAATCTCTATATAGTTCTGTACGAAAACCAGAATTCATGGGAAGTATACTCTGAAGTCTGAACCTAAAAGAAACACGATGATCGATCTCATGGTGGCTTTCCGTTGTCCAAGTTCTCCATTACTTCAATGTCCTTCCGAGCAGTAATCTTCTGCACATATCCTGTAAAGGGTAGTTACATTGAATTGGATTATTAGCCAATCGGAATCCGAAAAAGAAGTAGTTAATCGATGAAGTTCACAGACAAGAGATGCTCAAAAGGGTAAGTCAGCTGCCAGATGAAAAATTCTCAATTGTCACAATTATGACAAACAAAAAGGGGTGAGACAGAGAAACAGAAAAGAATAAAGCTCACCAACATTTATCTGATAGCATAATGAATAAGGAGAGCACAAAACTAGTAGCCACTTTCTATGAATAATCAATTATGATATGCCAAAACTATGGGTGCCAAACTTTGTGGACCTGAGGTATATATACAGGTGGAAAGGGACTCTATCCTTTGTGCTAAGAGTCACTTATTACATCCTTCGGCAATAGAATATGATTCATTTGCCTTCACATTTTTCATTTTAACAGAGCAATTCGATAAACAAGAAAGTCAGATTCTGAAAGAGTCAGATACAAGATGTGGCAGCAACATCTCCCAATTATCGTACTTCCAGTCCCTGTTCAGATAGACAAAGCTCATTGCTTCTGCTCAATGCGAATATGTTACAGACGATGTACAACAAAGATCACGAGCTTGCTGACAAATAACGGATCGGGAAAGGAGAAGTAGACAACTGGGATTGAGATTAGTAGAATTGAGAAGGGTTGGAAGACAACTGGGAAGGAGTAAGGATCAGAACAGGAAGAACAAAATATGATTAGGGATTAGAGAGACTGAGAAGAGGAGAGGAGAGCTAAACCGAATAGTACTGTGGTTTAATTGTTCGATATAGCAAAGCCCTTAACCCTAATCACTATAGAATGGTTCTAATAACGCTATAGCTACGCTACTAATTACTACTAATATTACTAGTTATCCTTATGCATCTCTACTCCATCACTTGCATTATGGGTATGCTTCATTTTGTCTCCAGCACTAGAAACTCTAATCATCCATTCAACATCACCGAATTGATGCTATAATTTCTTCCAGCTGCTTGAAGTGCATTCTAATACTTCACACCTACATATTTCAGGAGCCTACTGCTTGTTTCAATATGATAATGAAGCCAGTTACAACAACCGGTCCACTGTGCTCTTAACCACAATCACTAAGAATAGTTATCAGTTGATTCAGTTATGCAATAAGCTCCCTGATGGTCTACAAAAACATTTTTCATATCCAGTATTCTACTATAAGCCAACCTGTCGACCAAAAAAGAAGCCACATGGATTTACTCTTTATTTTGTATACCATCTAGCCACCATTCATTCATTCATCCATTCATTGCTGCAGTACTGCAGCATGTAGAGAAGGAAAACCTACCGATCCCTTGGCAAGGCACGCATTTGCAGATAACCTCCTTCCCTCTCTTGTTAAAATAACTGACATCCCCTGACCCTTGGCAACTCCTGCACTTTCCAGTCCATTCATAAACCACTTCCCTGCAATCCTACAGTTCCAGAAATGAAATTCACAGCTTCATCACCACAACACTATGAACCAAACAAAAGCCAAAAGGCCAGACAAACAAAAGCCGTTTAACTCATCACATGAACCATGCTAACTAATCGGAACCCATAAATGCTAATGAGCTTCCATTTCAACCTTTCCTTCTAAATTCAAGACACTGACTGGAATCATCACAAAACACTGGAACCATTGACACCCCATTGACCCTATTATGCCTTAAAACATAAAAGTTCTCAGCTTTACATGTTCTTGGAACTTCACTTGCCTCAATTTCAGTGTCACATCTCAATCGCTTATCAATCTCCTCTGGGGTGACGGGTTTAGTATTGGGATAAGACATGGGAAGAGGGAGCACATCCTCATCATCCACCAAGTAGCTATCTCTATTCCTCGACCATTTCTTCTCCCTCGCGTTCAACCTGCTTCCACTCACGCCGCCGTTGCCCCGCCTCTGGGACAAGCCGCCGTCCACTCCACCGGAGCCGTAACCAACTCCTCCTCCGCCGCCGTCGGAGTCTTTCCCAATCCGGATGCCCGCGGCATCAGCAGCAGCAGAAGAAGAAGAAATGAAGGGGAACCACCTGGGGAAGTCTGGCCCGGCGGGGACGTCGCCTCCGACTGCAAAACAGCGGGAAAAAGTGGGACCGGCCGGCGAGAGCTGAGTTACAGAACTGGGTTTTGACGGGAAGAAGAGGGAGCTAGGGTTGAAGTGGAGCATATGCATTTGGGGGATTTGGGGAGTAGAGATAGCAGGGGAAATTGGGATTTTTTTTCACTTTCAAGTGAATTGAAATTGAACTGGGTCTGCTGATAAATTTACGGAGCAAGGAGGACTTGGATTGGAATGTGATAAAGGAATGAGCTTCTTGTGCAGAAGATATTTGGGATGTTGATATTTTTTTCAGTACGGAATTCTCAATAGACAAAGAAGAACTAGGTCAAGGTGTAGTTATTGCCACGAGCTCTTCCTTTCGAGTTTCGACCAAGACGCCTATAGCGGGAAGAACTAGAACTTTACAGTGGAAAGCTTCGCCACTTTGCAATGGAAACTATTGTAAATCAGGTATAGTCCACACTCATTACAAACAGCTGGGAGGGGACATCTTTCTTCAACTTGATGTTAAACTTATATGGCTTATGTTTGGCCCGGTTTTTAAAAGTGTTTTTCGAGTTCAAAAGTTATAGCAGGGTCAAACATATCTTAAAGCTCGGCTTTTGAAAAGTCGAAAAGCGTTTTTGTATAACGTAAAAGTAGAAGCTCTGATTTGGAGCTTCTGCGAAAAACTGTTTTGAAAATACAAGATTATCCTTACCATATTTTAATTTTATTTCATTTGCATTATTTTAAAAATAAAATAAATTATAAAATCATATTATTTGATATAAAAGAAGTCTAATAAGATCCATTTTGACTACATTTTATTGTTTAAAATTATTATTCATAATTTATATTATAAGTCCTTTATAGTTATTTTACACAACCTATCATATATTCATATTAAAAAGCACTTCTAATAGTTTTTCAGCTAAACACTCAACTGCTTTTCTTGAAAAGCACTTCTCTAAAAGCTCAAATCAGAAGCGGTTTCTGCAAAAACTACAACAGGGTCAAACTAAGCCATTGTCTCATCTCATGATAAGTGGTTTACAAACCTATATTTTATCGTACAATTTAGTACAATATGATCTCAAATACATATACTCTATTTAACATTCAATTTACTCCCAACATAAGAGTAATCAATCATTCTTCTTTTATTTTAATTGTTTCATTTGATCAACCGTTTATCGGTAGAAGTCGATCATTTTCTTCAAATCACAATGACTCGTAGTCGTGGACCTTATCAGAGTATCTGGATTGGGTCAGCAGGGATGTTACGTGGGTACTGTTCATATACATTTAATGGGCCTTAAGAAAGCGTAGCTGGGCCCATAGTTTCGGCCTTCTCCGCCCTCGCTCAAAGTGCGACCAGTATGGCAATTCTGAACCCTAAATTCCCAATCCTCTTATCACCCGTAGTCAGTCACTCCCTCGCCGGCCACCGAGTTTACATCGCCGCCGTCGGAGGTTTAACCATTCGGCGTCCCAGCTCCTCCCCGGCGTCTTCACTCTCCTCCTTGAATCCTTCTGGGTTGCGCATCGTACACAAATTTGATTTCTCCTCATAACTTGAAGAGCTGAAGTGGAGCTTGAACGTAGCAAAAAAAAAAAAAAAAAAAAAAAATTCAACCATGAAGGTCTTCCAAATCAACGGAAACAACACTCTTTCTCTCGCCCTCTTCGCCGAAGTCGCCAATTCCAAGTAACAACTCTCGCTCTATTCTTTGCTTCTCGTTGCTGCGTATGGAAATTGCTTTGGAAATGTTCTAGCTGGGTTTAAGCACTAGATGAGTTACAGGATGTGCTGAAACGTGATGAAGGTTTTGTAATAAGGATTTGGGAGCTTTTTAGGACGCTGGCTTCCCTTTGGCGCAACTGCTATCAAGGAAGAAAGTTCTTTTCTTTGTTAGAATGAACAATAGCAAAGTAGTTATGGTGTGCTAGTACTGTGGAGGATTGTCTTTGTGATGGTAAGTAGGAAGGGGAAATGTTGATTGAACCACTCCAGACATGGACTTAGCTAAGCTACCTACAAAGAACCTTTTGGGTTTCGTGTCTAGCAGTCTCGAAGTTCGGCATAAAAGAAAGCTACAGTTTGATGTCCATGGAAAAGAAATTTGATCATGACCGTAATGATATGTTACTGCATCTCGCTTTAGACGAAAATGCAAAGTTATGTATAACAGAGAATTACTAGGGTTTTTCCCTCCTTGGACATCAAGCTCACTGTTTAGCTCTTATGCTGCAGGGAGCTTCTTGATTCTATGCAAGCTGGGAATCTGGAGCTGGAAGTTTCGTTTATGAATGCATCACTTGTATGCTTCTTTTAGACAATTCATTATCCGAAAAACTCCTTCAATCGTTTTTTTAATCATCTGACTTTTCTGATCGATTGCATTCCATTATGGCAGATCCCCGATGTTTTCCCTGTTCTCGCTGCAGCACACAAGGCGCTTGTGTCAAAGTCTCGGGATTCATTGACAACCCGAACGCTTCATTCTGAGCTTGTCTACAATATTTCAGGATCCAAGCATGTAAGTTCCCCAATGACTAGTTTACATAACTTCATCTTTTGTTTACCTTTCCCTAGTTTCAAAGCTCCAATTAATCACTGCACTGCTATGTATATTACATTCTTCTGACTGTACCAGATTACAGAGTCCTTGAAACGATGTGGTATCTCAGACAGCTGCACGTACGTCCTCGCAGCTCGCTTCAATGCCTCGCCGGAAGATGTAAGCTTTTCCTCATTTCTAAGAAAAAACTAATGCAGTTATTGCCTTTAAGATCCATAGATTTCTATCAACAAAGATCATGACCGTAATGTAAGCTTTTCCTGCATCTCGCTTCAGATGAAAGTGGTAGAAAAACTTATCAACGGCAAAGAGGTCGACTTAGTGGAGCTGGAGAGCAGAGCAAACCAAGCTCAAATCCTTAAGGTTCGTATAAGAAACTAGTGCCTGGCTCTTAACAAGACGTGTATATAGATAATAATATCGACATATCGTTGCTTTCAAGCTACCGATAACCATACACGATTGCTTCGTAATATGTTGTTTCAGCATTACAAAATCTCTGCGATGGAGCTAGGGATTTCCTCACTTGCTGATGCCATTACATGCCGAATAGCTTCCCGGGATGCCTTGTGAGGAAAGATAAGGGCGTATTGTGCTTGAAGTAGTCGAAGGCCACTGTGTGCATCCATAAACCAGCTATCTTTTTATCTTAGTAGGCTGCAGTTTAATGCTTGGCTCTGTAGAGTAAAAGAATGTGAGTTATTATATGCTTGGGGATGAAGAAATGTTGGCGAAATAGGCGTCCGATTTTTACCCGCGTCTTTTATTTGTCCGTTATTATCGTTACGTTGAAATTTATTGTATACCGAGCCATCCAAACACGGTGTCGACACGTGGATGGGACAGCGGCAACCGCTTGCTTCAGTATGAAGCAGCTTCAGTATGAAGTAAGAGGCTGGAGCGTCGTTTTGACGCTGCTTGAACTGAGAACAGCCGGGTGATTATTCTTGAGATGTCTTTTGCAGTTATGTCCCTATTGCCGCTCCTTTTTCTTTTTCTCTTTTACCTTTTGCCCCCAGTTCTCTTTCACTTTTACTTTCTAATTAGTTGTGCTCTTGTGCTCAACTTAAAAAAAAAAAATTGGCATTTGAGGCCTGAATTAATTTTGGCAAAATTTTCACTACAGTAATCTCGTAGGTTTTTGTTTATTTTTCCTAATTGAGTTCCAATCACTAGTTTGTTTTAGATTAAATAGGAGGATTTCTTAATCGGCTATTTCGATTGTTGGTTATATTAAAAGTCATTTCAGCCTATCGAAGATCGCATTGTTAACATTTAACCGATAAATAGATAATTGTTAGCAGTCAGTTATCGGTTAATTTTTCAGTGTAACTGCTAACTGACTAGTCGAATATCACCCCTACTTGGTATCTGCTAGAAAGGTCATGGTAATTTGATTGAGAAGTGGGAATTGTGTAAATAGAAATCTCGATCACCGTTGGGAAGCGAAGGAAGAACAGTAAATAATAATTTTTTAAAATGAATGAAGCTCATTTGAAAGAAATGAGAGAATATTTTAGTTACTTGCAAGGACTGTAAATTCGTAGTGGAGGTTGTACTAGAAAAGTCAGGATATTATGTGATGATATCATGGTTTAATTGTGGTTCAACCGTTTCATACCACTAAAAATTCTCCCTATTTAGCCTATATTAGTAAGTTTTTTCAATCAAACTGCCTATACGATACTTAATGAGTGACATAAAAATATCTGAAATAATCTTTGCTTGCGCTTTCTACATTTTAGTTACGGGTGATAAATTTATCAAAGCTTAGGGACGTATCTGCAAAAACTGAAAACTAGGCCCCAGCCCCACTTAGACTCCACTCCATTAACTCCGTCATTTTTTGATGATGTGGCAAACAGAATTGCTGACTGGACCGTTAACTTAATGTCAACCCAATTTAAAAAAAAAAGTCGAGAAGGCCAAGCTTCTATTCCCCAGATTCGTCTCACTGCTCACTGGTGAAAAACGTTGACTCAAAGTCAACCATTGATTAAAGAACAAATCTTGGACCGCATCGCGGCGGCGTTCCAACAGCCGCCATCCATGAAATGGAAAAGATGTTGCTCATCTTTTTCTTTCGAGAGCTTGATCTCCCCATTCCTTCTCCGCCACGGCCACCACAACAGTCGAACACCCCAGTCTCCCCAGATCCGGGCCGGAGTTCGGGTTCACTAACTTGTCAGGGCCGGTCGTCGTCGTCCAGAGCTCAAAACCACCTTCCCTGAACTTTCCTTCTCCTCGTTCCCAATCAGATCTTTCCCTGTAAATACAGATGGATTAAAACCAGCCCAGCCCAGCGAATCGAATCTCTCCAATCCCTTCCTTGACGAACCTATTAACCATCTGCTGCGCCATTTTCACGTCGACGCTGTCCCCTGCGACGAACATTGAGTCAAAATCGGCATGCTTGTTGAGCCAATTCTCAGATCCACCGCCAGAGGAATGGAAAGTGATCCATTTGTGCGGTCCATGAATCCTCGTAGCGATGGGGAGATGATTTTTGGGGGCTCTCCGGTGTTCGACGACGATGACATTGGCCTCGGTTACCAAGGTGTTGAGGTAATTGTGGTAGATTGGGAAAACAGAGGTGGGTCTTGAGGTGGAGGAAGAAGAAGAAGAAGAAGAACAGGAAGGGGAGTTGGGAGATTGGAGATGGAACTTGGAATGACCAGATGGAAGAGCGGAAGGAAGTTTGGGAGATTGGTGATGGGGATTGAGTTTCCCTAATTTGGAGTAGGCTATAGCTAAAGCCGAGGAAGAAGAAGAACTCAGAGAACATAATTTTATTTTATTTTCATTTTATTAAATTGACTTGTCATTAAGTTAATGGTCCAGTCAGCAATTCTGTTTGCCAGGTCATCAAAAAACTGACGGAGTTAACGGAGTCTAACGGAGATTGACGGCCGATGACTAACGGTGAAAGGATTTGTAAAGTTAGTGGCGAATAAGAAAGAAAAGTTATTCAGATGGCAAACGTGAAATATTTATATAATTTGAGTGACCAAACGTGTAATTTAGCCAAAATTAAAGTCAAATATCAAGCTCTCAATACAGACTATCCATATATAAAACACCATTTCTAGAAAATTCAAGCAAATCACAAATTAACTATACAAATTGTTCAACACCAGTCTAGAAAACTCAAGAAAATTGAACACTAAAACCAGAATGTCTGCTAAAATAATGCTATATTGCTACGCCGACCTACAAATCGAACACTAAAACCAGAATGGCTACTAAAATAATGCACGATTTCTTCAAGAACAGCAACCATCCGGTTATCTCTGGCGTCACCCCGGATTGATTTTGTCGATGATCACTTTGGCATCGCCTTCGAATATGATGTCCGTGAAGCCGAGCTCAAGATACCATAAAATAGCCTCCCGGAGCACAATCAACTCCACCACCATAGGATCATCAATCAACTCGAACTGAACCCCCTTAGCCATGAGGATCTCCCTAGCTAGCCGGGTTCAAAAGAACCATCTCGCCTGCCAAATGAGACCCACCCCTATTGACCCCATCCCACATACAAACAACCATATTAGCCCCCACTAGACCCAGTTGGTGTGTAGCATGTAGAATGGCCTGTGGAGCACGGGTAGTCGCAGATTGCAGTCAGTTTAAGTCGTTTGCTTATATGTTAAATAGAGTATGTGTGTCTATGTTCGTATCATACTTCTTCAATGAAATTGTCTACCGTTCGATTCTCGTATTGGTCTCAATATGACATGGTACAAAGCTAAGCAAAGATGATCAGAACTACCAGAGTGTAATCAGGAGACCATTCCATGTAAACCACTTCCTTCGCATTACCTTGTGACAGACAGTTCATGCTTAATTAACATCAAGTTGAAGAAGAGGTCACCTACAAATAGCTGCAGTAGCTAGTAATATTCACACAAAGCTAAAATTTTGCCACTTCAATGAATACCTCATCAAAATTCACTCCATACTCATCAAAGTGCCATATGGTTTGACCTGAAGCGCATAAACAAAAACTGCTTACTACCGAGTACTGAGACAGCAGAAGACGGCAAAATCTTGGTCGAAAGGAGGAGCTCGTGGCAAAAACTGTACCTTTACCGAGTTCTTTGTCTATTGAGAATTCCGTACTAAAAAAAATATCAACATCCCAAATATCTTCTGCACAAAAAGCTCATTCCTTTGTCACATTCCAAGTCCTCCTTGCTCCGAAAATTTATCAGCAGACCCAGTTCAATTTCAATTCACTTTGAAAGTAAAAAAAAATCCCAAGTTCCCTGCTATCTCTACTCCCCAAATCCCCCAAATGCATATGCTCCACTTCAACCCTAGCTCCCTCTTCTTCCCGTCAAAACCCACTTCCTTAACTCCTCTCTCGCCGGCCGGTCCCACTTCTCTCCGCTGCTTTGCAGTCGGAGGCGACGTCCCCGCCGGGCCAGACTTCCCCAGGTGGTTCCCCTTCATTTCTTCTTCTTCTGCTGCCTCTGCTGATGCCGCCGGCATCCGGATTGGTAAAGACTCCGACGGCGGCGGAGGAGGAGTTGGTTACGGCTCCGGTGGAGTGGACGGCGGCTTGTCCCAGAGGCGGGGCAACGGCGGCGTGAGTGGAAGCAGGTTGAACGCGAGGGAGAAGAAATGGTCGAGGAATAGAGATAGCTACTTGGTGGATGATGAGGATGTGCTCCCTCTCCCCATGTCTTATCCCAATACTAAACCCGTCACTCCAGAGGAGATTGATAAGCGATTGAGATGTGACACTGAAATTGAGGCAAGTGAAGTTCCAAGAACATGTAAAGCTGAGAACTTTTATGTTTTAAGGCATAATAGGGTCAATGGGGTGTCAATGGTTCCAGTGTTTTGAGATGATTCCAGTCAGTGTCTTGAATTTAGAAGGAAAGGTTGAAGTGGAAGCTGATTAGCATTTTCTGAGTTCCGATTAGTTACAATGCTTCATGTGATGAGTTAAACGGCTTTTGTTTGTCTGGCCTTATGATTGTGCTTGGTTCATAGTGTTGTGGTGATGAAGATGTGAATTTCATTTCTGGAACTGTAGGATTGCAGGGAAGTGGTTTATGAATGGACTGGAAAGTGCAGGAGTTGCCAAGGGTCAGGGGATGTCAGTTATTTTAACAAGAGAGGGAAGGAGGTTATCTGCAAATGCGTGCCTTGCCAAGGGATCGGTACGTTTTCCTTCTCTACATGCTGCAGTACTGCAGCAATGAATGAATGAATGAATGAATGAATGGTGGCTAGATGGTATACGAAATAAAGAGTAAATCCATGCGGCTTCTTTTTTGGTCGACAGGTTGGCTTGTGGTAGAATACTGGATATGAAAAATGTTTTTGTAGACCATCAGGGAGCTTATTGCATAACTGAATCAACTGATAACTATTCTTAGTGATTGTGGTTAAGAGGACAGCGGACCGGTTGTTGTAACTGGCTTAATTATCATATTGAAACAAGCAGTAGGCTCCTGAAATATGTAGGTGTGAAGTATTAGAATGCACTTCAAGCAGCTGGAAGAAATTATAGCATCAATTTGGCGATGTTGAATGGATGATTAGAGTTTCTAGTGCTGGAGACAAAATGAAGCATACTCATAATGCAAGTGATGGAGTAGAGATGCATAAGTATAACTAGTAATATTAGTAGTAATTAGTAGCGTAGCTATAGCGTTATTAGAACCATTCTGTAGTGATTAGGGTTAAGGGCTTTGCTATATCGAACAATTAAACCAAAGTACTATTCGGTTTAGCTCTCTTCTCCTCTTCTCAGTCTCTCTAATCCCTAATCATATTTTGTTCTTCCTGTTCTGATCCTTACTCCTTCCCAGTTGTCTTCCAACCCTTCTCAATTCTACTAATCTCAATCCCAGTTGTCTACTTCTCCTTTTCCCGATCCGTTACTTGTCAGCAAGCTCGTGATCTTTGTTGTACATCGTCTGTAACATATTCGCATTGAGCAGAAGCAATGAGCTTTGTCTATCTGAACAGGGACTGGAAGTACGATAATTGGGAGATGTTGCTGCCACATCTTGTATCTGACTCTTTCAGAATCTGACTTTCTAGTTTATCGAATTGCTCTGTTAAAATGAAAAATGTGAAGGCAAATGAATCATATTCTATTGCCGAAGGATGTAATAAGTGATGCAGGAAAGTTCAATGGGTTTGGCCAACCATTTTGATTTTTGTTCTTAATCCAGGTACTCTTTCAACGCTACCCTTAGCACAAAGGATAGAGTCCCTTTCCACTTGTATATATACCTCAGGTCCACAAAGTTTGGCACCCATAGTTTTGGCATATCATAATTGATTATTCATAGAAAGTGGCTACTAGTTTTGTGCTTTCCTTATTCATTATGCTATCAGATAAATGTTGGTGAGCTTTATTCTTTTCTGTTTCTCTGTCTCACCCCTTTTTGTTTGTCATAATTGTGACAATTGAGAATTTTTCATCTGGCAGCTGACTTACCCTTTTGAGCATCTCTTGTCTGTGAACTTCATCGATTAACTACTTCTTTTTCGGATTCCGATTGGCTAATAATCCAATTCAATGCAACTACCCTTTACAGGATATGTGCAGAAGATTACTGCTCGGAAGGACATTGAAGTAATGGAGAACTTGGACAACGGAAAGCCACCATGAGATCGATCATCGTGTTTCTTTTAGGTTCAGACTTCAGAGTATACTTCCCATGAATTCTGGTTTTCGTACAGAACTATATAGAGATTGACAAGCATATCTTGACATGGAGAATATAGGGCAAAAAGTGATGGGCAAAGGGCTTCAAATTTGTTAACCTTTTTGAAAAGGAATCTATTCTTTCCGTTGAGCTTCTTCAACCATAGCTTTCTTTTTCCATATGTACATCTCTTGAAGAGGTTCCTCGCAGGTTGATCTCAGGAATAAAAGAAAGCCCTCTTTACTTTATTCTTTGCTTTCCACCTTCCTTTATAAATATGCACGGAGTTCATACATTAGAATTGCACTTGACATCTTCTCCATCTTAGAACTTCCATTGCTGCAAAAAATCCTATGTCGAACGTAAGCTTTCTGGAGTTTCAGTACAAGCTCTCTAACAACAAGTTCCTCCGAAAACCTTCTCGGATGTTCTCCTCGCACAGCAGGCAGAACTCAAGCAGCAGCGTACCAATAAGGTTGCAGCCAAATGTGAAGGAGATGAGACAAGTGTTCAACAAATTCGATTCCAATGGAGATGGCAAGATCTCTCAGCAGGAATACAAGGCCGTGCTGAGGGCTCTAGGGCAGCAGTCCATGATTCCCGACGTGCCCAAGATCTTCAAGGTGGCCGACCTGGATGGAGATGGGTTTATCGATTTCAACGAGTTTGTTGAAGCTCAGAGGAAGGAAGGAGGCGTTCAAACGATGGATTTGCAGAGTGCCTTCAGGACGTTTGACGCAAATGGAGATGGGAGGATAAGTGCAGAAGAAGTCATGGGAGTTCTGAGGAAGCTCGGGGACCGGTGCAGCCTCGAGGACTGTCGGAGGATGGTTAGGGCAGTGGACAACGACGGAGATGGGCTGGTTAACATGGATGAGTTCACCACCATGATGACTCGTACCCTCGTGCGTAATAACTGACCATGGCTGTGGCTTTGTTGTGCGAATCTTTGCTTAGTGTTCTTCTGATGGCCTCTGAAATCTGAACTTGTTTCATTAGAGTTGTTTTCTTCTTTATCAGTTCTCCTTGTATCTTCAGTGATATCTCATGTACAAAAAAACGCTTGGTTCCATGGGGCGTGATCTCGTTGAAAGTTCATAAATAAACGTGTGCTTTCTCGTACTTCATCAAACCGTTTCAATCAAAAATGAAATCTGAATTATGAATGCTAAATCAGAGGTGGATAAATAATTCAGTACGTATACCGGCTTTGCATTCTATGCAGGTCGCATCAGGTATTTCGTTTGAAAAACAGGTGAGGAAATGTTGGCACTAACAAGAACATATATCGACATAATCGTGAAACGTGATTTGCAGAAAACACTTGCAAATCAATAAGTGGAACGGGATGAAGTGAGAATATACATGATCATAAGCAGCAGAAGTAGTCGTTCAGACCATGAGCAGCTCGAGCAATTTTATAAACAAGGTCCCAGTAAACAGAACAAAGTGAATAAACTAGGTAACTACAATGTTCTCAGGAATCTTGTTTCAGTAATCACCACTCACCAGTAATCTCCACAAGAGCACTTGCCATCCCTGAAGTGATGAAACCTCTTGTTATCCCTAACGATCAACTCCCTCCCCACAATCCTGGACATAATCTTGATGGCATTGTGACAGTCGCCGCATATCCGGAGGTTCTTTATGATCCTCAGTGTCGTCCTCGCCGGAGTGCTGATCAGTCCATAAGCAATCGCCAGCCTCTCACTATGGTACAATAAAGCTTGCTCTTTTGCCTCTTGATCAATGTCATGGAGAACATATCTGGTGTCTGGGACATAACCCGAGTTCTTCAACTCCATCATTTCCTTGAGTTTTGGATCATCCTTGTAGAGAGCAGGATAACGGTACTCTGCTATTCTACTCTTCCCTTCCAGCATGCTGACTGCAGTACGCTTCACTGGAGGTGGCGTAGGAATCTTTTTAGCCACTGCCTTAGAGGGATCCATGGAAACAATCAGTTCTTCGAGGCGATCTTCAAGATCCACATCTCCATGGATTCGAGCATAGTTCATGTACTTCTCCCAGATTTCCACAGAGGGATCAAATGGCAGTTTCTCAATGTACTGTTCAATTTCGTTGAGAAAACCACATTTCCCAAGCACATCAATCATTCCAACATAGTGTTTCATTTGTGGATCGATCCCAAAATCGCTCTTCATCAACTTGAAATGGATGAATGCCTCATCCACGGCGTCTGCACTGCCACAGGCTGATAGAACAGCGAGGAACGTTTCTTCTGTGGGTTTGAGATCTAGCTTCCTCATCTGCTCAAAAAACTGCAAACCTTCATCCCCCAAGTTGTTGTTTGCATAACCATGGATCATCAGGTGCCAGGTATCCATGTTTCTTTCCGGCATGTGATCAAACACCCTACGAGCATCAGTCATACTCTCGCATCTGCCATACATCTCAATCACCTTATTGTTCAACATCAGATCGCCCCTGCAAGTCGATTGCAGAAGGTAGTCATGCACTTTCTTGGCATCCTCGAGTTTGCTACACAACCCAAATAGAGAATCGAAGCAGGCGTAATCAGCTCTAAGGCCTTTATCCATCAACTCGATTGCTTCCTTGACCTTCCCTTCACCGCACAAATTCAACAAATCAGCTAACGAAGGCACTGGATCAGAATTAACAGGTTCAGCAACGAAATTTCCCGGTCGAGGGTGCTGCACTTGGACTTGGTTATTCCACTGATTCGGAACTCCCCGTTGCCCATAGCTCTGGACATTACCGTTCACCTGTGGGGCATTATGATGCTGAGGACCGCTCTGACCACCTGGAGAATTCCAATGACCAGGGGCCCCTTGAGGAGGCGGATGCTGCTGCTGATCGAAACCACGATTAGGGTATCCCTGATCTGGATTAGGATACCCTCTATTAGGAAACCCCTGATTCAAATTCTGCCTTCGATCTGGAAAATTACCCTGGTAATTCCCCTGCCCTCCGCCCATCTGCGGCGGAGGGTTCTGCTGAGGGTGGTGCCACTGGTTATGGTTTCCTTGATGTTGCTGCAGCGAATTGAACTGCGGGGGAGGGTTCTGCTGAGGAGGGCGCCACTGGTTATCGTGTCCTCGCTGTTGCGGCGGCGAATTGAACTGCTGCGGCGGCGGAGGAACTCTATTATCCCAGCGGGGCACCTGATCAGTATGCCTCTCGCCATGGAAACTCCTAGGATCGGAGTGAGACGGTGGTGGGCGGTGGAACTCATTGGGGACGGCCGAAGTACTGCTCAGGGTTCTGGCCGCAGCTAGGGTTCTAACGAAGGGAGAGTGAGAGAGGTGTGGAAATAACAACCGTACCTTGATGACTGAAGACGAAGAAGAGAGCGTCGCTCGCGAGCCGCGCATCGCCATGAGAGACGCCATTTTTTTGCTGGACGGAGATTGAAATTAAAAACCCTAGTTAAACCCCCCCGGCTGGAATGGGGACGCAGAAGCCAACACAGTATACGGGGTGACCGAGGTTGAAGAGAAAGAGGAAGAAGTGGAAGGAGGACAAAGGACTACGGGCGGGGAAATAGGTAGTAGCGACGGCGCCGGCGAGCGGCTGATGTTCGGCGTTGTCGAAGAGAGAAGATCGCCGGAGTCGGGAGTGGAGAGAGTGAGGAAGATAATGGAGCAAGTCTGTCTGCTTCGCCTTAACTAAGGAAGCAGGGGCGAGAGACCGGAACGACGCCGTATTATTTTATTTAACGGCGTGAGTGGTGAAATGATTCGTTTGGACGGAAAAAAATTATAACGCCGTTGCCGGGGATCGAACCCGGGTCACCCGCGTGACAGGCGGGAATACTTACCACTATACTACAACGACTCTTAGTGATAAAAATGGTAATAGATAGTTATTGAAAATAACAGTTCACAAATTACGTTGCAAAACCGTGCAAGCTTGTATGGAAGTTTTTGACTTGCAGCGTGTTGAAAGATGAGTATGTGAAATTTATTCTTCCAAACTCGTATATAAAGCGAAATATAGTAGTCACTAAGCCAATACTACGATGCAACCATAAAAAAAAAAGCGGTGTAAGTGCAACCAAAGATAATAGGCCAGAGCTTATATATTGTTCATGATTTGATCTCATTCACCTGAGTATGTTTAAAAAGAGAAAGAGATCAATCTTCCCTTTAGTTTCTGTCTCATTCCCATAATATGCACATACTCCACACTATTACCAATCAAACACACGGATCAATCTTCCCTACAGCTTTATGTACAATGAACAGACACATTCCAGGCCATTTACATCGCAATTCCGGAATAATCAATGCTCGAATCCTGTAGTTTAAACCGAAAAACGAAAGAAAGAATAACAGACTGCCAAGCATTCAAAATAATTACATTCATGGGTTAACTGGATAAATGAACACCCTCCTGTGCAACAAGCACGAATTTATCTACAACGAATGTACAAGAGTTGCTATGTTTGCCGCAAAAGGATGCGCAGGTAGATGGTTTATATACATCTGTACACCTGAAAACCGGGGTGCGGGAACTTGAACTGACAGATATTCTCAAGCTACGAAACCATTTGCGGCTTCTTCAGAAAAGCTCGGATGTTAATACGAAACTTAGTTGAGAGATCTCTGCGTTCCAATTCACTTTTGATTTTTTCTCTCAGGGTGTCACTCGAGATCTACCACCATCGATTATATTCCCAGGAGGAGACGAGGGCAGGCACATCGTAGTGACTTATCATTTGGCCTTCAATCTCTGTTGTGTGTCTGAGTTGGTCCTAGATATTTCTCCATTGATTCTTTCTTGTGCTCAGGGTCGAGGCTGCAGGAAACCTCAGTAGAGTTAATTACCCAGAGTTTTTAAACAAAATCAAGACAAGAGAGATGAGATTTTTTAAAAGAGAAGTGAAGAGGGTGTAGAGCTCTTACCTATTTCTAAGGCCGAGAAGAGCAGAATGCGCAGCACTTGCACAAGCAGAGACAGGAGCTATAGCAGCAGCAGGAATTCCCCGTACTGCAGTGGCCAAGGCAGACCCAGCACTGGCCCCGTATTGGTATTTTTTCAACGGTGTCCGAACTAATGCAGAAGCCGATTTCCCCAGGCCATCACTTAGGTTCGAATATGCCTGTGAATAAACATTAGAAAGATCAGAACCTTTGTAGCTGTAATGAGGATAGCCTTCTTCAGTATTGAAATGCAGAAAGTTCTACTACTACAACCCTCACCTGTTGCATTCCTTCCTGGGCATCTTTTGGCTGATTGCTTCGTACATTCGACTTCTTTTTACCCTGTGCGGTGGAAGACGATGAGGATACCTGACGAGAAGGAACGGCCGTGAGGATGTACTCGGCTTGGAGTAAGATATCATGGGCTCCTGCAGCCAAATGCACTCCAAGTCCAACAGCTTCAAGCGATATACTTCTAAGAAATGCAACTGTACCTGCCAAAGGTCAAATTCAAAATGTTGTTGTTAACTCCTCTGATTAGAAAATGCCCAAACGTATGTATTATTATTAAATAATAACAAAATGTCTGGAAAAATCAGTCAAAAAGACAATATGATCATAGTGAGGCATCTTGTCACTCATCTGATAGACATTCCAAAAGAACCTACAGAGTGTAATTTGTTATTTGTATAAAGATACTGATTCAAAACGTAGGCATGCTATACTGTCACTTAAACATCAACGTTAGTGAATAAAATTATCTATGCTTTCCCCTTGATATTGTTCTATCATTCAAAATGCAGTAAACATTACATAGATTTAGGCCAAAGACATCTTGTACGTCAAGACAAAAGTGACATATGTTAGCTACTTTATCACGGTAAGCATTGGATTGCAAGTATAAAAGGAGAACAGCTAATAAGAGGGGGGAAGAGCATCATGCAGCATGTTATTTACCTCTTTGCATTCCCTTGACTACTCGTTGATCTTTCTTATAGCTCTCAACTGGCAGGGACACAAGCTTTGCAGCCCCAGAGCCAACAGCAACTAAGGATCGTATCGTAGGAAGACCTCGCAAGATTTTGCGTACCTAAAGAAAGGTACATATAAGTTAAAACAAATATTCTCGATATGGAGTAAGCACATTTGATCAATAATGTGGATAATGCTGCCAATGAACCTGATTTTGCGAAATATCTTCAAGCCATTCCCCCAAAATTGTTTCACATATGTTGCCCCAACCATAGACTCCAAATGCATGGACATGTTTGAGCTCAAGTTCAACACCCTGCATTCAGATTTGCGGATATTTCATTCCCCCAACAGCAACCAACTTAAACAAAATGAAGCTGCTAGATCTAATCTTATAATGATAGATGAAAAAGGTGACTATCAAAAGCTACACCATCTTACAAAAATCACCATGAACCAAGGAAACAAGATAGAACAAGTGACAAATCATTAATGCTAAAGGTAAAATGGAGCTTGTTAAATTGCCAGAGTGCAACAAGAAAGCACACAAGTAGAGAAAGCTGTCTTGGTTTATTGAGTCAGAGTTTGATATGATGATCATATCAGAGTTGGTCACAATACAAGGCATGTCAAAATTAATAAAGGTTCACTATAGAAACGTTCAATTTTGGATGGCAAGACTACAAGGCAAGTTCGGGAGGTACCATTACCACAAAATAGTACCAATGATCCTGTCTTTGGCATTCCCAACACAGAACAGGGGAAAATATGAAACATACTTGGTTAAAAGATTTGCTCAATTCCCACCATTTACTCCCTCTAGCTCACATAAACAGGCCAAGCAAACCAATACTAACAAAAAAATAAAAATAAAAAATAAAATGAGGCTAACTATTTACCTTCCAGGGGACAAGGTTCACAAGTTCCACATACTTCCCACCTCCTAATGCTGCTAAATCAACACGACTGGGTGTGTAATCGACCCGTAGAAGAATAGGGCATATATCAAATTTCTGGAAGTAAGAAAGACAGTCAGGATTTGTTACAGTTGTCACATACTTGAACGAAAGAACAGATAAAATAGAATATAGATATCCAGCTTCCAGAAAAATAACGTATCAGTTTAATGGTACTTGCCTGAAAATAAGGAAGAAATGCCTCTGGTGCAATGGAATGACCAGCAAGGTCGGCACCACTAATTGGTAATGATTCGACAGAACCTGAATTTTGTTGACTATCTGAAGACAGATCAGCCGACAATCCTTTGGGACCAAAATAGCTAATAAGAAAATCCAGCTGGCTTTGATGAAGATGCACTCGTATTGGAAGGAGTGAGATTTGTAACCTGAAAGGAGTAGACAACATTTAAACCTTTTTATTTTTTATAACTCTATCAACTAACTCTATCAAGATCACAAAGGAATCCACGTGCATGATCGTGAAACCGCAGTACCGTTAGATAACAAGATACCCAAGAATAACGATTTCAGGAACTAATTCTATGATTTCATGAAGAGCGAGATGGAAAAAGTTCGTCAAAAAAGAAAAGGTTAACGTATGCAAGAGTTTAAGATACTAGGGCCTACGTGGCAATAACATTTGTAATTACTAATTACCAGTCTAAGAGAACTGAAAAGATAATAAATAAAATTAAATAAATCAGAATACCTGTATTCTTCTAAAGGTATCAGTGGATCTGGTCTTACAGCTTCCAAGTCCAACCTGAATGCTTTAGCAGATGATGTCCTAGGATGATCTTTCGAATAGTAATATCCAAGCATCTGCCCATTTGAATGTAGTAAAATCAAAGTATGTTATACACATAAACACTCGCCGTATATGCATGAAAGAACAATCCGCTTACCAGTCTCCAAGGTGCATTTTTGCTCTTGTCATAAAGATAGAAGTCCTGAATGGAAAGTGACATCTTAGATGCACATAGTCCCCTCAGTGGGAACAAATCATATTGCAGCTCCATCCCACATAATGAAACCTCTAGGCAAGTAGTTGTGTCCCTTCCACAATTACGTTTAGAAGGGTCATCATTCATACTGTATGCACCCCAGTCAGTACCAGCATACATTTTCCAGCTCACATTAATATCCTTGAGAAGTAAACGTCCTATAGCCTTTACAGATTCATCAGGCATTGAAGAGGCACTCCCAGGAAACCTGTCATCAAGAGACTGGTTCAAGCTACCACTCCCACTAACATCAGAAATGTGGTCCTCGACAATGCTTAAGGGAACCTCCCCATACCATCCACTATTTCCTCGTGCAAGATCCCTGTCGCCGAAATGCTCAGATGAAGATTGGCAGCCAATTGACAACCCAGACAAAGGGCGCAAGTCAGATATGCAATAGCTTTCTATAAATTCTGGTAAAGAACCATTCACCAAAAATGATCCTTCCGTACTATCTGCCCCTACTAGAGACACGGAACAATCACCAGATGCACCTTCCAAGCAAGTATCGTTAGCTTCAGCACCAGCTCCATAACGCTGTGCAATGAAGCTTTCACCAGGTGGCAACTGACAATTTGATCCACTGGAACCATGTTGACAGTCCTGTTCTCCATCCAAGCAAAATGCATCTTCACATATCTCATCCATCAAACCAACTGCCAAGGCTTCATTCTTGGTGAAAGCACTAGGTGTAAGCACCTCAGAAGTTGGTAAGGTAGAATCTTGAGTTTCAGCCCTACCTTCCTCATTGAACTTATTCTTCTCTTGGTCCACACAAAAATTATTCCACCTAGCCTGCAAGTGCACAACCAATTCCTCCAAATCAGGAGCAAAAAGTTGCTGCAGTTGACTAGCCAGTCGAGTCAGGCCTGAAGTAGTATCATGGCAAGTGTTCATCCAGATATGGAGCTTTGAACACTCTAACTCCCATTGAAGACCATTCTCGCAGTTAGTTCTCAAAATGGCTTCTACAAGCGCTTCTTGAGAAACTTTAACATATCCCATCTCACGAAGATAATCCACACTGTAGATAGCACCAGGATTTTGCAGTGCCTTAGAAAGAAGGAATCCTAGATCTTGTGCTCTTATTTTATAATCTTTGTCCACAGAATCTTCCAAAGCAGTACTGGAAATTATCAAAGAAGAAGCAGCTAGTAGACAACCAAAATATGGCCCAACAGTATCCTCTTTTGCATTTGATGAACTGGAAATAGAACTGTGAACCACTGATAGTGAACTCTTCAAATAGGGCTCATAACTTAAACCAACATCAACCAACTTAAGAAGGAAAGACACTCGATGCGAGGCATGGAGAGCCTTCTGCTGATTTTCATGATCTGCTTTCACAACTTCAGGAGAGGGCAAAGTGAAGAAGGAGATTATTGCATCAAGCCAGTCCAACCGTCCACCAACTGCCACAATGGTTGCACATCTGATGGTAATGGATGTAATTGAATGCAAATCCCCTGGATCACATAGGTGGACAATATCAGAACCAGCCCACCGTGAAGATAATGCATTTGAACCGCTTCCATCCCCACGTTTCCTGGAAGAGTTACTACAAGAAATCAGAACAAACAGCTTGCCTGGAACCTTGGTGACAGAACCCCACAGTTTACCTTCTCTATGGGTTACCCACAACAAATTAGCATCTTTAATGCCACCAATATTGGAGACAGACATAAACTCGACTTTCCGAATTTTCAGCTTGAAATATAGCCATGATCCAGGAAGTTCACTTTGTAAGGAACTTGCTGTTTCCTCCCTTGCATCTAGTCTAATTGAAACTTCTAGAGAGTCACACTCTACTAGGACTGCTGTCTGAGACACGGATGGTTTTTCCTCGAGATTAATTGCTTCACAGGCTCCCTGTGATAGGGTATTTACCATCTGACCAATAAGATGAACTAGAGTATGATACTGAGAACTGTCCAAATCAACAATGCAAGGGGGTAGATGAACATGCAGAAAAACAGCAGAAGTCAGTATCATGTCCCTTCGAGTTCGAGAATTCATATCCTCCATGTCTTTCACAGCAGTTACGGTGGCAAATTCGTGCCCTCTAGCTACAGAGTTTTCTCTCATCCTGGACTCTTCTGAGGTAGCCATGGACTTGGCCCTCTCAGTAACCCAAGGACCAGTTAGAACACTATCTTGACATAATAAGCTGATTTTTGAAAGACACCCAGCTCTATTGCTGAGAGATAATACCTTCTGTACGAAAAATTTCTTGCGGGGTATAATTACAGAATCATTCTGATTGACCAGATAAATCCCTAGATCACCAACAGACACGTGCACAGACCATGCAGGCCTTGAAATATATCTTTTCCATGAGTTGGAATCAGCTACACGACCATGACCCTGATCTTTCCACTCATCCGTAACAGATGGTGAAGACAAATCAATAGCAATAAATTGATCCCAGGAACAGCGGCTTTGGATTCCTTTGTCCACCTCTAACGGAAAACAGAGTATTATCCGGGCACTGGTAATGGAGATATTACCTTGCCAGTTTTGAGCTGAGGATGATGCACCGACAGTTCTTTTCGATTCATGAACTGAAGAGCCACGTTTCTCATGCGCAGATTTTAATCCATCATTCTGGTGACTGGTATTAGCAACGCTTCCGACATCCTTCGCAAGATCCATTAACATCTTTATTGATATCAAGTTCACCCAAAACGTGAAGTGTGGGAGAGTCAATGAAAATGCTGCTGGCATTTTTGCATCACGACTGGATGGATCTGAATTCACAACATATTGGCAATGAGTGATGCCAGATGTACTGAGCAATTTGATTTTTGTTTTTCCAGGGGGAATATCTGAACCATCAAGTGTATTCCAATCATCTGAATTCGCAGCATTTTCCGGCGGGCCAATATGAGGGAGAGCACCATGTAAAGTAGCTTGTAGTTTTTGAATCCGAAGAGTCTGATCATGCCCATCATTAGAAGACCCAGCCACGTGTCTGCCATCTTTTCCATTGTCTGAAATCTCAACTACCTCGATACATCTCACAGTGCCATCAATTCTCATTTCTTGAGGACTTACCTGTTAAACTCATTAATATGAGCAGTGCAATAGAAATGGTGATACAGTATGCAAACAAAGGAAATAGGAGCAGAAAATCTGAGACTGAATGTATTAATTACAACATTACCTGCACAACAAAAGAAATATCTTTGCATTCAGCAGTCACATGATGAACATCTGAAGCACTATCACTTCGATCACTGTTTGATTCACAGCAATATTGTTCGTCTTCATCTTGGAAGAACAAACTAATTGAAATTCCCGTCCAACAGACTCTGAGATTGGTCTGTATATGCTGCTTCTCTGTAGAAAGTGGAAATCAAAAGTAGATATAGAATTTTGGGTAAGAGAGAAAATACAGATGCCATTCACATCAACGAAAATACTGCAAGCAACAACACCAAACAGACACACCCCATTATCTCCCAGCACTTAGTTGACTTCTATTCAGTACAACTAGCTAAGGAAATCAAATAAAAGCTCCATAAGATCCTTGGCGCAACCATGATCCAAATTCAAAAGATGCTAATATCATCATGTAAGCCTCTAAACTATTCTTGAAGTCCCTGGCGAGTCACTAGGACTACATCACTCTTCTTAAATCGCTTCTCACATCTACATATATCTAGTGTAGCTAAATATGTATTTCAACAACACAAATTCGAAGGACATGAGTCCTATATAACAAAGAACCATCATTTAAGTAACAATGAGGTTACAGGTTTCAATATGGGAGTTAAAGCATTTACATTGTTCAACTGTCTGGATCATTCTCTTTCGTTAGCTTCGCTTTCTTAAATAATTCTCAATTACTAGAATGCCACTGCATATTGCATGAGCTGTTATTACAAGGGAATATATAGCAGTAGTTCGTATTGCTTAAGTTAGTTACTCAACAAAAGAACTACGTAGACAAAGACCCTATTCAAGAAGACTTCAGTGACATCCTTGATGCACTACTGAACTATAAACAAAGAGACAGTATATACATAACCAATCAGTTGTTCATATAAAGCAAGGTAAGAGTGCACATACCAGATGTAACGAGGAAAGAACCAGAAGCAAGGCTAGAAGCTGCAGTTAAAGCACCAAATACCGAGCATGTCCAGCCCCACATCCCACTACTCCCCAAAGCTGACTGTGAATTTCTAAGTCCATCAAAACACTCAAAAAACTGGTCCACACTGCAAATAGACATGATAAAATGAGAGATTATACTTGGGCAGTTACATCGTTGAAGTGAGTCAGAGAGCACATCATGTTTCCTCAACAGAAATATATGATTTTTTTTTTGTCGATATATGGCTTTTTAGTCTAATTATCCCACTAACAAACATGTTGCCGAAAATAACAGGACTGTTTAGTGCCAGTAGGGCACAACAGAAGACTGCGTTATTCCATCTCTTACAAAAGCAATGGAATCATCTAACAGATGAGAAAGCATTAGTCTATATGCTATAGCCAAAAATGACACTAACCTTGCCCCAAGGTCAAGATCTTGCACACCATCTGTAACAGATTTTGGCATCCAGTCAGGTATAAGATGCGATCCAGGAAGAACAGAATCACTGAATGACTGTTGTCCTAATGAAGAACTTCCTGAAGCTGAAAGCAACTTTTCGGCTGGAATGAAAGAAGAACTTCGTGTTGATGAATAAAAATGAGAAGCTGAATTGAAGTAAACAGAGTCCGTAGACTTGAACTGTGTATTGGGAACACAATCCTTGTTCAAGATCTTAAAACTCTCCCATGCATGAAGAAACCATTTGAGTGTACCAGGCTTAAGCCTTAATTCCACAGGATCAATACGAACATCAGCATCCACTTTGCGGAGATCTGGGGAACCATTATTCCAGGGGATACTCAACTTCAATTGCCCAGAAAATCCGTCCTCATTACCCAACATGATCGGAATTGTCTGATTTGAGGTAAAGTCTGACGACAGCACCTCACCAAAAACTGAAGCTGATAGTGGTTCAGATTCACTATTGGCATCACCCATCTCCAGTAGTTCAAGTACCGCTCCTTGAAATTTTAGGAAGTATGCTAGCTGACTGATTCCTAGGAAGTCGTCAGTGGTTCCATTAGAAGTTGAAGAACCATCTTCAGAATCACCCCTCCCAAATTCCACTTCAGCTACGCGTAAGACCAAGATTTTGCGGCAGCCTACTTCCTTATCATACTTTTCCTTGTAAGGTTCAAATGCAACCAGCAAGTTTTTTATCTGAACATGGAAGCTGGTCAATAACCATGTAACCATTTTCGCGATCGTCTTTACACCTTCATGGATGTCAGCAGAACCGGATTTTGCTACCGGGTCGAAATCATTGCCTAGTTTTCCAGGCTCACCATGCATCAAGGACATTTTATCTTGAGTCGCACGACATTTATCACCATCGGTAGATGATTCATTCTCTAAACATTGTCCAAGCACAAGCTCAAGCTCGTCCACTTCAATCTCAATCTCGAAACCATTATCCTTCCGGCACAATTTAACAGAAAGAGAGCCTATTGATCCTTCCTTTATAATCACAGACGACTGGGCACCCCACTGGAGGACATTGCAAAAATCAAAGAAATATAGCAAATTAGAAGGTCCCAAAACGATTAGCCTTCTTGCTAAATGCTAAAAATAGTTAAAATACTACCATAACATACAGATGAACCAGGAATGCGAGCACCACCACACTTCAGTGTTCATAGAACTAGCACTCTGAGTTACAGAGATTCTAAAATTCAAGAACAGACAACTTCCTCGAATAGAAACAAACACGAGACCCTTCCTCCGCAATTGAACTATCTTATCTCCCTCAACCATTTTTGCCTCCACGCTTCCTCCCACACTAACACTCAGACAGGGATGGAGAAGTCCAAACACTAAAACTTAGGTTGCACAAATAGGCTGGAAAAAAAAAAGAAAAACCTTCCCATTCAACTTCAACAAGGAAAGAGAGAGACTCGAATTCACCTTGTACAAAGGAAGACATAAAGAGGGAGGGAGGGAGACAAACAAAAGATAGAACAAATTCAATGCAACAGCGCGAATTTTCGACCAATTACCTGCTCATTGAGATAATCAACGTTAAGGGCGAGGTCCTTTAGCTGGATAGCGCCTTGCCCGAGCTCAAGCTGATGAAGATCAATATCCCCCAAAATCAGCTGCCCTAGTTTCTTCTTCAACATAAACTGAAGCAGCTTCTTCCTCGCCCACTGCGGTATGTTCCACGGGGACATCGTTGCGCCGCCTCCTTATCCCCGCAAACCTAGTCTTCGTCTCCGTCTCTACAGATATGGATAAGTTCTCAGCTCCGAAGCGTAATTCGTAGCTCGGAAAGTTTGGCTTATGATGCGAAGGGGGAATTAGGGTTAGCGTTTCTTGTTAGGCCGCCGGTGGTGAAAGCGTGGCAAGCTCCGGTCATCCATCAACCAGCGATGAGAAAGAACGAAAAAACGACAGGGAAGAATGTTGAATGTTAAAGCAATCATTTATCTTTGACGACTGGGTTTTTGGACGGTATTCGTATTTCCCGTGTTGCGTTGAGTTTTGTCAACCGTCATGGTCTCGTTTTAATATTTTGAAACTAGCATTAACCCTGCCCTTTGGGCAGGTAACTTTTAATTTATGTGTATATGTGTATTATGAATATCAAAGCAATAATTTTCTAAAACCACACAATTAGTTTCCATCACAAAAATAAAGGCCTAGAGACACCACGAAAAGAAAAAGAAATCTCGCATCTCAACTTATAATTAAATTTAAAAAGAAACACCAGAAGGTCCGTCCATCTTGATGAAGTTCTTCGGGGAAAGTTTGGTGGGCATATACTGTCGTCTTGCGGCCGATCAATCTATGAGAAAGAATCGTACATGCATTGATGGCCAATCCTCCCATCCAAATAGTAAGGATTATTTAACATATGTTAGTGAGTGAATCTATATACAAAATATATCTATTTATGATATATCGAGATTTTAGAATTTGTAACCTCTAAACCTACAATACACATATAAAATGGAGAAAGAAACCATATTCGTTAAATCTCTAAACTTTATGAATCTATACTTTGGATTTCATCCTCCAAATGAACTCTTGATTAATTTACCATTAATATTTTAAAACATATTTTTGATTAAAAATATTAAAAAATATTATGATTATTTTTTAGATGAATTATATTATTATTATTGAGGATAAGTAATCATCACAAATAATTATAATTTATTTCATCATCTCTTTCCTCCCATATCTCCATCCAAAATAAATTGATCAAAAAGAAAAAAGAGAAAAACCTAGTGCAAGGAGGAGTCTAGCCTATAGGAGACGGTTTAAAGAGGATAAAAAAAAAATATGAGTAGTTTTCCTGAACAAAAAAAAAAGACATAGAGGTGAACGCGAATGGTAAAAAAAAATTAAAATTAAAAAAAAAAACTCGATTACCGAAAATTGCGGCCAGGCTTTTAAGGCTGACGTGGAGGGGTTCTTAATCTTAATCCTCTTTAATATATTTTAAGATTCCGGATTAATAATATAAATTGAATTTCGACATAACAATTTCTTTTGGGCCTTCTGCTAAACTATTTTCATAGCAAAAGGTTGCAAGGAAAAGGCCTAGTACACAAAAATTAAATTATCATTATCAGAATTATATTTTTTTATCAATTAATTAATTAATTAAAGTGTAAGTTCCAAAAAATGCAAGTTACTGTTCTTTAAGAAAAATTCCGAGTTTACTATTTACAAGAGAGTTGGAGAATTCATTGTGGGCAAATTCATGTGAGCAGTGAGCCCATTTTTATTTCAGTTGAGTTAGCCAAGCGTGATCGTTGATGTGATTTTCAGTTTCTTAAATGCATGAGCTCATATAAAACCAGTGGCACGCAATTTATTTAATAATAATGTTGATTAAAAAATAATGAAGAAACAAGAAAGACAAGAAAATTTCAATTCAAAAGATCATCCGGTGTCGCTCTCTCCTACCTCACTAAGCACGTTGAATGGAGAATTTCAGACACCTCAAACGCAATGAGTTATCGAGAGAGTGAGTCTGAGCGAGAACGATAGAGAGAGCCGTGCCTTCACGTTTATTTTCTACTTTGCATGAATCAAGACCAAGAGTTCATTGATGCAGTTCATTGCCAAAACATTGTTCCATATTGCACAGTCAGATACTCGGATGTGTCTCTCATGTTCTTGAACATTTAAAACTTGTGCAGGTTGTCGTCTGCATTGATCCATCCTTCAATCAAAAGATTGGTAGACTATAGAACTGTTTGCTGGCAGCCCCCAACTCCAGAACTCTGTAGTTGTTGTTTGTTATACATGCACAGGCACGATTGTTCTGAACAATTTTGTAACATTTACAGGAAAAAATAAGGAATGTGGACTATGTGCAGTCTTTAAGCATGAACATTCATCTACGACGAAGTAGACGTTGAACCATTAGCTTGATCCAGAATGATGATTGTTATGTAACTTTGGAACTGAAGTAGTATTGAAGACAGAGGAAACCCTCAGCTACAAATCCTACGTTTATAACCATAAATTTCTTCCCTACAATCGGCCACACTGAAAGACCAATGGAAAATTCCATGTCGAGAGTTATCTGCCGATGACAAAATCAGCAATTTCTGCTGCAGTTGTTTGGGAGTCTTCACCTAGCTACGACTAAAATTACAGGTCCGATGGTTAGAGTGACACTGGCGTACCTTAGGAAAGCTAGCCTTTCCACAGCACAAAAGGAATGCCTACTGCTACCAGCGCCCAAAACAAAATCCCCATTTTCAGCTCCAAATGGGACACTACTTTCGACCTGCACAAAAAGATAGCACATAGCAGAAATCAGAATCCACCCTGTAAAATCACCACTCAACAAGAGCAAAGTTGTCTGTACTCGAAAGCACGAGTCCTGATTTCAAGTACACTATTGTACTGCGTCGAGACCTCCTATCGAGAAATCTTGACGAGAAGGTTTGAGCTGATCCGGTAGACTATTCTAGCATTCTACTAGTTCGACCTCTAGTCGATTCGTATTAAGCAACGTCTAGAGACAAGCTTCTTGGAGCGTTATTAAGAACCCGGAAATGCAGTTCTTACCTGTTCTGATCCTTTTAGAACGCCTCCTAGTGCTGTCCAAATCATCGTCTTCCTCGTTCTTGTTTTCCTTCTCTGCAGCTTTCGCCTTGGCCCGCTTTCCCTTCTCTAAGGCTTCATCTTCTTCTTCTTCCTCCTCATCTTGGTTTTCCTTCTCAGAATCGCCTCCCACTTCATTTGCCCTAATGATATGCACCTGAGCCACCATACATGAACTTTACTAAACTACCCTCCCATATCATTGGAGACCAAAAGAAGACCCAATCCACAGAGGGAGAGTGTTCAGGTAAAAAGGGTTGGCTCAACCTTGAACTCTGTGGGGCTGACCAGCTGGAAAACCAATGCGTCTCCATCGACCAGCTCGTGATCAATGGCGAACCCTCTCCACCCGCCACTGAGACCAGTTTTCCCAGCAAGGTACTTGGTCTGAGATGGCTCTTCTCCCTCGTCTATCAACGTCATCATCTCGTCCTCCTTCGGAAGGTACGTCTTGCAGAAGAGGGATGGCAGCCCCTAGAAAGAAGGGAATTTTTCTCTTGTTCACTAACCAAAATTACACCAATTCATATCACACCATGGTAAATGAATCGGAATTCGGAACTCAAACTCACCAGCCAAAACCCTCCAGTGACATGGGACTGGAGCATGGGTTTCACAAAGCTTGGATGCTCTGGATCCAAAGTGGATTGAAGTTCTTCAGCTCTATGAATCGCATATTGCCTTACCTCACTAGATGCATACACCCGATTCAGCAGATCTCTTCTCTGGTAGCTGAAGGTCCTGGAATGGAAGTGCATCCATCACAGAGGAAAACCCTAATTATTACAGTCATGAGAAATGAGAAACAATTGAGAGAGCAAACCTTCTTGTTTCGCCTAATGGCTCCACTGGTCCCTGCCAGAAATTTCAGGGCATCGATCAGAAACTCGAATCTCGAACGGGGTAGTGAGAGAGTGAGAGAGGCGGAGTAGCACTTACTTCCCTGTAGCTAACAGAGGGCTGGTCCGCTATCCGTGACGACCTCCTCGCCGGAGCCAGCACCGCCGGCCGGCGAGCTCTGGGTTTCGCCTGCTCGACGGAGACTTCCCATTAAAGCCGGCGATCTCCGTAAACGACTTAGAGTGAGGGAAAAGAAAGCGAGCGCGAAGAGCACTAAATCACTTACAGGGGAAGGATTGGAGGAGGGATTGGGTTGGGGACGAAGATGCTTAGCGAGCTTCAGCAGGTTGAGGTCTTCCATCCTCTTCTTGTTCTCTTCCACCCTCTGCCGCCGGACTTCTTCGTAACTCATCACCTTCTTCTTCGCTCCCACCATTGTTGAAATTTCTTCTCCGGACCAAAGATCTGTAGAAGAGTCTTCTGGCCGCCTATAGGGTTTCGGTCTTTTCCGCTCCGCCTCGTCGTGTGCAGTCGGCGGGGAGATGAAGCGACGAAGGAGAGGAGAGGAGCAGCAAAAAATGGAAACTGTAGCGCTCGGTCTTAAATTTCAAAATTCGAAGACAGTAGACACCTATTAGTCATACTTACTCGTTGCTACTACTACAATTGCAATTTTTAGTCTATTTTCATCCCTGAAGTTATGCCCAACCTACGATTTGGTTCTCATCCTTCTTTATCTCTACAATTCAGGCATTTTCTTTAACATATTGGGGGTTCAAAAGAAGTTCAATGTGATCCAATTGTCTTGTTTTGAGATAATTAGACTAAAAATTGACATGTTTGTCAGAATAAAATTTGGATCGATTTTTTTTTTTTTTGAATCGATACGTTTTGGATAAATTTCAATTGTGTGAGTTGGGGGCTGACAATTCAAATTGATTCGTTATAAATGACTCGTTTTAGCAATCAAATGTGAGAATTGACTGTCACGTAGGAAAATTTCAACTGAAATGCATAAATGGGTGACCAAAAATAAAATGAGAGTTAAAAATAAATAGTGATCGCTAATATCACACATGCCCAAAAAAACTAGAATTCTAGAAATCAAAATGTGGTAAGTAATAGTAAGTAATAATGACATATTCCAGTTGGACTGGCGATACGGTTTCACAAACACTCTGGATTGATTCACATTCTCTAACTTAAATCGAAGCCAAATCTATATGCTATCCTAAGCTGTTGCATATACTCTTTGACTTTTCAAGCTAATGACAAAAGCATATACACCATAGAAAAGTGCATCATCTTCCTGCCTAAGTAATAGCATTCTGCTTGCTTCCTCCCTGCACAAAAGCAGATCCAACTTCCTACTTCCTTCTACCTTACATCAATCACCATGGCGCATTTGCCAACGCCACAAACTCACTCCCACTCCCACCATTCAATCTCTCAGTCTCCCCGCGCAGTACTTCCACCCTTTCTTTCGCCTTCCCAACTTGCTTCTCCAGAACACGCAGCTCCTCCTCCGCTGCCTCCCTCTCCTCCACCAGCCTCACGCGCCTGTTTGTTGCTTGATCAGCAAGGCACGCCAGCTTCCTCAATCGAACCAGTACGAAACCCACATTCATCCCCAGATTCTCGAAGCCCTTCAACTTCTTCTCCCACACCTCCAGATCCTTACTCTGGCTCGAGCTCGACAGTGCTCTGATGGCATAAGCAATGCTCGTAACCTCATCGATCATCCAAGCAACGATCTTGGCGTTAAGCCCCTCGAGCAGGCCTTGGTGCAGAAACGATCCCTGGATGCGGCACAACTGGTAGTACTTGAACCTAACAGGCTCCGGGAGTTGGTCTTCGTCGTCGATGACAGAACCATTTGCAACGATTTCAAAGTCTTCAAAGCGTTTCACTCTGTCGAAATCATCATCTGCAATGGATCCTGGCAAACTTGCTGTTCTTGCTATCACTTCCTCTTTGAAACCCTTTATCTGGCTCAGACCCAACATCATCATCATCATCATCATCATCCATGAAACCATTTCTGTCATCGTTTTCTTCCAGTTTTACTCCTAAACTTCCATCCTCTGCATCAACCCAAAACAATAGGCATTCATGATTCAACCCTTTACCCCCCCTGTAACCAACAACTGAACTATCAGCACAAATATGTCTATAACCAAATGCTTACCACCATTAACAGTTCACGACCTTAAACGACCATGATCGACACCCACTTCCTTCGAGGCATTTTCCCTCACAATGTAAACCTGAACAAGAACAACAGATTCGTAGCTTATAAGGAGCATGCACATTCCCCCACTGAAATTCTACCGCAGCTAAGAAATTACCTTGAACATCAAGGGACTGACAAGACGAAGAACCAGAGCATCTCCAACCACTAATCCATGGTAACTGGCAAAAGCCCTCCACCCTCCGCGGATCCTGCTATCACGCCAGTAAAAATTGACCAGGAAACCCTTCCCATCTTCCCCTTCTAAGGTGACCTGCTTGTCCGCGCTTGGCATATGCCACTCACAGAATGCTCTAGATAGACACTGGACTCACAACAACAACAAAAAAATCAAGCTCCACCCATTCACCAATTGACGGGTAGAATTTGAAGTAACAGGCAGTAAACCCGTATTAGGGTTTTTCTTTCTTACCAGCTTATAATCTCGAGCAGTGAAATTGGAGGGCGTCAGGAGCCTGATCAGTGTAGGCTTCCCGTCGGTTCTCTTTAGATCGGCTTCAATTTTCGCGGCCTTGGTCTTTACGGCACAACCAATCTCGGCATTCTCAGATGAACTGCCCGGCATCACCTTCCTTTTCCCCTTGCGGCTGAATGATAGTGACGACGCAGAGTTGTTGATTCCGTCCTGTCAGATTTCTAACAGTTAGCGAAGGTACAGAAGGAGCCCAGAAGAGCAGAAAGCAAGCCAGGCGTAACCCAGGAGAAGGGATTTTCTCGCCTGCTTCATCTTCTGGTAGCTTGGGGTGGAATGTACGGCGACAAGAAAGGTTCTTAAATAACTCTGTTTTGAGACCCACTTCTCCTTCTCCAGGGGATTTTGAGAGTTTATAGACATTGATTGTAGAATGACGTTGATCGATGAGACGCTGACAGTAGCAGTAATGATGCGAGTTCTTTGATTACTCTCTTTGGGAAGACGCAATCTGTAACTAGGGATGGGAGACGGATCCTTTTGGCGTAATGGGTATATCAAAAAAAGAATTTTATTAATTAATTAAAAACTCATATTAAATGTAGGGATGGCAATGGGTTGGGTCGGGGGCGGATAGTGCATATTCGTTACCCTACCTAAAGTAGTTCGGGTTTTACCCATACCCATACTCACATAAGAAACGGGTAGAAAATTAAAACCATACACATACCCGTTCGGGTTTCGGGTAGCCACGGTTATCTATGGATAATAATTTCTCTTCATAACTCCAACCAATATGTTAACATTCACACATAGTCTCATAGTGTGAAATAGAAAAAGTACGACAATAATTCAGTAGAATGAAGAAAATTAATTAAAACAATACAATTTCATGAAAATATTATATTTATATGTTAAATATAAAATATGTTTGACAAAAATAATGGTTATTTCTAGAAAAAAATACATATGTATGTGTATAATCGGGCGAGTTCGGGTTGGATAGTGAGAAACTCATGCCCACCTATTACCCGTCATATTCGGGTTCGGTTTTTACCCGTACCCACTTAAAGTCATTCGGGTTCGGGTTTTATCCTACCCGATTAGGTCGGATTCGGGAGGATATCCACGGTTACGGATATTTTTGTCATCCCTAATTAAATGTATTGTTTCTTTTAAGAAATTAAATGGTACAATAAATACATTTCTCTCTTGCTTTTACTTTTCCAAAAGACGGTTTACTCCGATCGACAGGTTTTCTCCCGTAAAATCCCTTACAGCCTGTTTGGATACAATTCCGGAAGAAATGGAAATGGAAATGGAATTCAATTTTTTATTTTTATAGAATTCCATTTCCAATTCTAGTGTTTGGTATAATTCCTACAACTATGGAAATGAATTGCACTTTTAACCATAATGAATAATGTAATATGTTTGTTTTATTTTGGGAAATGAAATATGAATGAGAGAGAAAGAGAGTAAAATGATAGTGGGTCAACAAAATAATAAAAAGTATTGATGGGTCCCACTAATTCCATCTTCATTCTCTCAATTCCTATCACTTTTGATAGGAATTGTAATTCCCATATTTTAGACCAATTGGAATTCAATTCTCAACCTTTTTATTATTCCAAACATAATATATGGAAATGGAATTCCAATTCCTTACTTTTTTGTCAATCCAAACAGGCTGTTAGTCACACTCCCTTCAGCACCTTGTAAAAAATGTACAACTTCGTCTGGTAACGTTACCACTCCGTCTGATAGCATTATCAGTGCAGTGGTAATGTTACCAGATGGAGTGATAGCAGTACCACTATACTCATACATCACCCGTGGTAGCGTTATCACTTATCACTCCATTTGATAACGTTATGAGTGCATTGATACAATACCACTAGATGAAAAAAAAACTATCACTCGACCTAAATACAAAAAAATTATATATGAAAAAAAAACACATATCAGGAAGAAGAAAAAAAACGAAGAAGAGGGGAGGACGACTAACGGTGGAAGGACACGCATTAGAAAAGGCGAGTAGAGAAGGAGACGACGACGTCATTGGAAGAGGGCGACGAGAGAGAGGACGGTGGCCGGCAGGAGAGAGGCGATGAGGCAATTAAGGTTTTCGATGAGGCAAACTCTATGGATAGAACTCAAAGAACAGAGTTTCTCATTCATAAAAAGAAAAAAGGCACTCAGAACTTTACGAACACAGAGACTTCTTTTCCATTAAAGGGAAAAAAGCTCCAAGAAGAGCACAAACATGGAGGGATTGTCACCTAGCTACTTTTATACACAGCCACCATTTACATACTGTTCCAACTTCTAACCCTAAACCCTCACGACCAAGCAGCACTTGCCAACTCCCTGACTGCACCTTCAACGCCATCCCCATCAATCCCAATTTCCTCAATCTCAAGCTCCAGCTCTTCCATCTTCACTCTAGCTTCTCCAAGCTCTGCCTCCAGAACCTTCACCCTCTCCTCCACAGCACCTCTTTCTGCTCTCAGCTTCCTGTACTTGTCCGCCTTGTCAGCGAGCCCCGAGAGCTGCTTCAACCGAGCTAGCAGGAACCCGACATCCATCCCCAGCTTCGCGAATGCCTCCAATCTGCTCCCCCAGCTCTCGAACCGGTCCTCTTCTCCTTCGTCGAGCTCGAAACCCCTGATCGCGTCGGCAATGTGCACCGTCTCGGCGATCATGCCGGCCACGAGCTTGTCGTTGAGCCCCTCGAGGACGTGCTGGTGCAGGAACGAGTTCCTGCTGCGGCACAGCTCGTAGTACTTCACTCCGAGTCGCCTGGGCAGCTCGTTGTTGATGATCGAACCGTTCGCCACGATGCCAAACGACTCGAAGCTTCCCACTTGATCGAAATCGAGAGCGATGCCGCGGAGCTTGTCGATCAGGCCCGATGTCTCCTCGGTCCCATCATCACCATCATCATTGTCACGCAACATCGAGCCCCTAGCGCCCCTTTTCGGAACAGATTCTGGTGGCTGCGACTCCGAGTTCTGTCCTGCCTCCTCAGGGCAACTCGTCTTACCGGACTTCGGCGTACCAAAATCGCCGTCAGAATCAGCTCCGATCGAGGCATTCGACCTCACAATGTAGACCTGACATTGATAAACAAGTCCGAATTTCGTATAAACAGAGGGAAAAAAAACTAAGCAAACAATTGCATTGCATATATCTATATGTAACCTTGAACTTGATTCTCCTAATCAATTGAAAGATCAAGACGTCTCCTTTCACCAACTTGTTAGCAATGGAGAATGCTCTCCATCCACCGCTGAGCCCTTGCTTGAGGGCGAGATACTTCGCGGCCCAAACTCTCCCGCTCTCGTCTTCCAGCTCGACTCTCCGGTCCACAATCGGCATATGCTCGTCGCAGAACTCCTTCGAAAGGCCCTGGTGCGCGCCATCTAGATGGTTAGTCCACCATTCAAGAGCTCAGCTTCAAGCTGGCTTTGTAAAATTGTTAAGTAAAACTAAAATCTCACCAGCCAAAACCCATTTGAAACGTGGGAAGGAAGCATAGTCTTCGTCAAAGTAGGATGCTCCTCGGGAAGATTGGCTTTGATCTCCTCTGCCTTGTTCATTACGGCATTCATCACCTCAGCATTCACATAGAAATCGTCTATCACCGCTCTTTTCCGCTTGTAGCTGGAAAAGCAAGCAACAAAACAGAGTATTTTCAGGGGTTTTTGCAAACTGGAATTCTTCAACAGAAACCGGAATTGTTAAAAGATTGTTCTTCAACAATGAAGAATCACTGACCCTCGAGAATTGGGTTGAACGCTGCTGCCTTCCTCCTGTCCAAAAATTTCCAACGGTTAATAGCTTTTACAGTATCAAAGAAAACAAGAATATCCAAAAAAAAAGGGCAAGAGGTTTTTTTTACAGGGAGCAGAATCCGCTTGATCTTAGCCAAGCCTTCTTCATTCAGCTTCACCTTCCGCGGCCTTCCCCTTTTCCTCTGCACCAAAAACAGAGTAAACACAAGAAACAGAGAATTGGGTTCATGCATGCATGCATAAAGAAAGGCAGAGAGATCAGAGAACCAGAACCAGAAACAGAGAAGAAGAAGAAGAGGGTTCAAGTTAAAAACCCGGGGCGTGTGATCAACTTGAAGATCGGACATGGCGGCAATGTCGTCGATCGTTAAAGGCTACTTCACCAACTGAGAGATAGAATTTGAGTCTCAAAACAGAAAACAGGAGAAGGGTGTAGTGTTTTTATTTATAGCGTGGGGAAGGAGATGGAAGATGGAAAATCGGCAGAGACAGAGAGACAGGTGTAATTAACTTTCCTGACACTGCTACAGTAACAGGAGGGTGGGCTTGAATCCGGAAATCGTGCCACCTGGGTCTCATGATTACTGTTCTTCCCACGATGTTGATTAGCTGTAAGCTGTACAGTGAATCGTGTCTAACTCTTCTTCCCACGATGATCAACCAGCGCGGTAAAAATGGAGGTGCAGTTTACTCCAATGCTAAACATTTTTGTTATTGATCATGAAAACAAACTCTATGTTGGCTGAAGTTGATCGGGACAAAAAAGGATTGCAGTAGCGTTTTGGGAAGCCCTCTCTGACTCTGAGAGTCAGTCTCTTGACATCAGAAAACAAACTGTCCATGGCACAAATATCACTAGACTCGAATCATGGTGGCAAAGATTCATAAAGCTACAAACTTTCAATCAGATTAAGGATAATACAACACCATACATTGAAATACAACCTACAGGCCTACAACTAGTACAGCATGATACATTACAGACATTCAAATGTTACAGTACACTGCTGCCTCTAACGGCAGGAATTACAGTACATTACATTACAGAACTCCTTCACCATGGAGCATTCACAACTTCCTGAAACATGACTTCATGCCTCTCCGCAGTCACTTTCAGAGTCTCGATCTCTTCGTCGATCCTCTTCCTCGCCTGTCTCAACTCCTTGAGTTTCATTTCCAGGCACTCCATCTCCTCGCTGACACGTTCCTGCCTCAGCTTCACCTCCCGCCTCTCAGACTCCACGGCCTTCTCCGATTCCAATGCGAGCTTCATCAGCTTGTCCAGCCTGTTGCACAGGAACCCGACGTTCATCCCCAGCAGCTGAAACCCTTTCAGGTTCTTCTCCCAGACAGCATACTCCCTGCGAGAGCTCGACAGTGTGGACGACCTGATGGACTCAGCTATATCGACTGTTCCGATTATGAGCTCAGCAGCCAGCTTGCAGTTGATGCTGTCGAGGAGGTTCCCGTGCAGAAATTTTCTCTGGGAGCAGCATAATTCATAGTATTTTTGCCGGTGGTGGTCCGAGAGCTCCGAATCGATCTCGGTGCCATTGACCACCACACTGAACTCTTGGATCCCACCTGAGAAGTCGATTATGTCATGAGAGTCGGTGGGTTCTGAAGAACATGTGACGATATCCATGTTTCCAGAGCTGTTTTCAGAGTGCTCTTGAAAATTGGCGTTGGTTGTTGAATCTATTGCTACGAGACGCTTTTCTTGTTCATCGTTGTTGCTATTGTCCTGCCTCGAAAGGGCACTTTTAGTACTGTCTTGGGTTCCCGGCAGCTTAACTGGTTCTCTTGCTGTCAGGAAAAGTGAGTGAAGATAGGATGAGACTAATGTTTATGGACAGGTTAGGAATTCGTAATGAGTTTTGGCGGAGAAGGTTAAGTACCGGAAATCATTCGCTTTTCACTAGGCTCTGTAGGTTGGATGTGAAGATCGTTGTTGGGCTTGGGAGAAGAATCATTTCCTCTCACTACATACACCTGCAAAATAGTTACAGTTGGAAGATCTGTTCCTTCAAAGTTCTACTCACTAGAGTTGACTTTAGAGGTTCAGTTTTGACCTCCTAACCAACATATCTAGGAAATACATCTCCCTTTTCATGTTACTAGTAACCTTCTTTTCTAGAAACAAAGAACCCAGATGAAACAACCAAAAATACAAGGAACCCATCTTTCCACAATGGAAGAGAACATTACCTTAAACCTTAGGGGTTTGACCAACTGGAAGATGAGAACATCGCCCTCAATCAGCTCGTGTGCAGCACAGAAGGCCTTCCATCCACCACTCAAAGCTGTCCTGTCCGCAATGTAATTGATTACATATTCTGCTCCAATTTCATTTTCGACAAGAACAGTTGTATCAGACTTTGGGAGGTAAGATTTGCAAAACCGCATTGGAAGATGCTGCACGGTGAAAATCAAGGTCAATATACATAGCTTTACGTCTCTCGAAAATGGGACAGCAATTTTTGAAGGCATATTACCATCCAGAATCCAACAGTGACATTGGAACGGACTAACGTCTTAGCAAAGCTAGGGTTATCAGCAGGTAGATTTGCTCGAAACTGTTCTGCACGCTCCAGCGCAGAAGATGACTTCGCCTCAGCACCATCATAGAAGTCATGTACAGCCGCTCTCTTTTGTCTGTGCACACAACCAACCGTATTAAACAACAGTCCTGCTATCTGAGCAGTCATCAACTGAAGCAAGGAAACACCAAAAGACTAGATCACTGACCTTTTAGAGTCGGGTGAATTGTCATACACAACCTGCAAAGGTGAAGAACAATCCAAGTAAGTAGCTTAATATATGCTGCCTCGGCAATTTCAGTTACAAACTGTAGAAGTCCCAGTCCTTCTAATTAAAAGAACAACTAACTTCAAAACATTTGGTGGCGTAATATAGCCAGATACGGATGAGGAATCAGAGAGCTTGTGCCGCAGAGAAAGCTCGAAACTTTGAACACGATATAGCAGAAGTAATACACATGCCCGCAACCAAATGAACAAAGTCTCCTATTTCAAAGATTTCACAGGACATAAGCAGTGAGCAATAAAACAACCTCAGTTAGCTTAAACCAAAAGGCAGCTCAAAATCCTGCAATCGATTCTGAGGAGCTCCAGCAAGTTAATGTATGAAGCTGCAGCTCGCAACTGAACCAACCACAACAGATTTCTCAGAACCCTCAGCTTGAGCAAGCAAATCGGGGAATCTAAGCCAACCCCCCGGATTTCCCGCGAAATTTTTGTCCACAGGAGAGCTTCATCCACCACTAATTGTAAACGGATAACGAAAGCCCTCAAATTGAAATTGCCAAGGAACAGCGACCAAACAAAAAAAAAAAAAAAAGCTGAAGCAAGCTGAGCAGAGAGTAGAAACACAAAGAGGCTGCCCGCCCTAAACAGAAAAATTCGAAAGTTCCACAGAAGAAGCTCGAGCTAGGGGGGGAAGAAACGAAATAGGGTAAAAGAAAAAAAGGGAATCTCACGAGTTGAGAGTTGGAGTCAGGTTGCTCAGGAGATTGAAGATGGTGGTGGATCTGGCTAGGCTTCGTCCTGGAGCCACGCGACTTCCTTCTATGAACCTGAAAGTGAAAGAAAAAAAAAACCCACAGACAGATTCTTTCTCAGGGATCAAACACCTCCCCCGGAGAAAACCCACATCGGACAACATGCAAAAAAGAGGGAAAATACCTTGAAGTGGGGATACATGGCGATGTGCTCGTTGAGGGGAAGCTGATCGGAAGGAGTAGGGGAGATGGGTTCTTCCGCTGCATCCATGGAAGCAAAGGGGGTGAAAGCTTGGTTCTTTTTGGTTTCGTTTTTCTGGGGGTTTTTTTTTTCTTTTTCTCTTCTCCCTGAAGCTAATAAGTAGTACAGCAGCTGGTTCTGGTCCTTGATAAAAGGGAAAGAAGGGAAGTAGAAATGGGGAATGAAGAAAGTAAAAAGGGAGGAAAAAAAATGGTGTTTGGCTTTTTTTCTCGTAAGGAGGGTGGTGGGCTCACACAGTCACATTTCCTCTCTCAGCCTCAGGTCAGGTCTCGTCAGACCTGTTTCAGGTCGTACCTTACGTGTAGCCCAGCTCGCGTTCAAAATTGATTTACTCTATATGTCTTTTTTTTTGGTAAATACAATTTAATATCCAAACCTTTCATTTTAAACAATATAATAGCCAAACCTTTTCGAAAACAATCTAATATCCAAATCGTCAACTTTTCGTCCGTTTGACCGTTGGTTGACACTTCAAAAAAGCTTTGTTTAGGGGAAATTGTCACAATACAACTTTATTTTCTTGTTTTGGCATTGTAGATGACTGAATATTCAGATATTCTATACCATCATTGTGGAGTCATGGACTTCTCGGGTTTGGAACCACGATATGTTGGTGGTTTTTCAGAGAAGATATCGATGGATATTGATGAAACGTCATATGTTGAACTTTTTTGAAGTGTCAACTAACGGTCAAATGAATGAAAAGATGACGATTTGGATATTAGATTGTTTTCGAAAAGGTTTGGCTATTATATTGTTTAAAATGAAAGGTTTGGATATTAAATTGTATTTACCCTTTTTTTATAGTTTTTACATTGTGGGAAAAATAATCTTTGAGGTAAAATTAGTGTAACAACCCGAACCTTTTTCTCGACGAAGATATTGTCTGTCTTGGGTCAAGACCCTCACGGTTTTTACTTTGGGGGTGCAATTCAAGGTAACTTTTTAGAGTATCACTCATCCTTATTGTACTCTACACTAAACACGTTTAACTTCGGAGTTCTCACAAGAACTCCTCAATTTCACCCCAAAAAGTGTCTTGTCAGTTACGGTCGATTTCTTACTTATGAACCATGAATCTCTCCGTGCTTTGTCGATGTGGGATTTGCCTAATGTGTTAGGATTAGTGTCTGAAACGATGCGGTTTTATTATTCATATTGTCAATGTGGTATTTGTAGAGTCAAATAACTCATTTATTGTTCATGTGGTATTTCAGTGTTATTTCAGTGGTAATTGAAATAAAGTATCTCGTTTGGTTGAACCATGCAAATGTGGTATTTGACATGTGGTATTTGGTAAAAGCAGAGTGATAAAACGAGTTATTTCAAAATAACACATGGGTATAAGTTATTTCAAATAACTCGTTTGAGTTATTTGTAAATAACTCACTGTCCAAATAACTCATTTTAGTAAAACGCTGTCAAACGAATTGTTTGCGTCCAAATAACTCATTGTGAGTTATTTGAACCCAAATAACTCATACAAATACTCCATCCAAACGACCACATTAGTACAAAGTATGTGATGAATTCGTCTAGTATAATTATAGAAGAAATATATTTTAAGTATGACATAGTATTTTATGATAAAAACTTATTATTTTAATTAGAAGAGAGCACACAACGGAAGCGGTCAATAATTTTTCTGTAAGAACGGATCTATGTTTCTCTAACTTTTTGTATGTTTATTGTTCTGTATATATGCAATCATCTATTCTCAAGACTCTCATATTCACTTTCTCTACTCAAAACATGGAAATCAGAAAATCATTTTTGCTCATTTTATGTGGTATTATTATGGCTCTTGAATATCAGTTTACAATTTGCTGGAGTTTTTGGTCATGACTCAGCAGGGTTAGAAATCTATAGTTTATGTGATTATGGTCCATGTTTACCCTTCATAATATTGTCTCACTTACTCCATCATGTTATATTTCATGATAGGCCTGTTCCAGGGGTGGTGCTGATGCTTCTGGAGCGGTGAAATTTTTGTGTGATGATCCAAAACATGTAATGAAACACGAACGTCTTACTGGTTACATGCATGGTGTTCTGTTTAACACGACGAAGATTTCTAAAAAAAATAAAAGTTTATCTTCATTCATTTTTTTTATATAGGTCACGATCGACAATGGGATCATACAGTTGACATTGGCAAATCCAATTGGATGAAGCACTGGACTAAAATATCATGGATCCGAGAATTTATTGCACAATGTTGAATCTAAGTTCTGGGGAGCGTACGTGATTGATTTGCTTCCATTTTCCTTCATTTTCTCATTTTGAATAATTAATGTGGTACAAAGGTTTGCAATTTAGGAAGAAAGAAAAAAAACAATACAATCTTGACTGTGTCCTTTAATGTGGTTTCAGGTACTTTGATGTCTCCTATAATGTGATTCCACCACGTCAAGGGGCAGGGGGTTTACATAGGTAATTACTATTAATATCACACATCAATCTCAAGATAATTATGTGCTATTATACTTCATTAGTTCATTGTCAAAAGTTTCAACTAAAAAATATCATCTAAAATGTGCTTATTTATCAATAATATGGGTAGCTAGTTAGGATAGCCAACACTGACCACATCTTGAATGTTATACTTTGAAAGTTGATGCAAACTTAATCTCGGATGATTTGTATGTTTGATAGAGTGGAGGCAACGAAATATACTGTCATCACAGAGAAACCAGATATAGTGGAAGTGTCATTCAGTGGAGCATGGAATTCGGGGCTAACAGATTCTGTCGTTCCACTCAATTTTGACATAAGGTAAATGTAACTTGTCCACAATGATTCGTTATGTTAAGTGTAGGACGGAGTAAAATAATCAGGGGTGATATGTTTCTCACACTACAAGAAAAATCTTTTCTGCAACCATCTAATAATCAGGGACACTCGTATTTATGTTACTAAGAATGACATATATGTAGTATGAAAGGTGACACTCGTATTTATGTTATTGAAATTGACAGATGTGTAGTATAAAAGGGTGATTGTGGATTTTATACTTACGTCGTTGAGGAAAGACTGGCCAGACATGGACATGAGTCTACACTTTTTCGTTTTCAGGCCTAATAAACAGTTGTAAGTTTTCTTCATTTCACACCCCGTGTATTCTAAGCTTTTGATGAGTGATAGTTTACTATGTAAATTCCAATCCATGGACTGGATGAGCATGAGTAACTAAAATACAACAATCCAATTTTAATTTAATATTTGAGACAATCACCGATAAAATAAATTCCTTCAGGTGTAGTTTTGACTTGTACATGTATATATTGAAGAGTTGGAGTGATGGTTTCATAATGAAAAACTTAAACTTACGTCTTAACAAAAATATTGTATCTTTTTTGTTTAGATTCAACTTTATGGCAGTGTCCGGCGAAATTCAATTGGTTATGCCGACAGAAGAGGATCGAGCAACTGGTATAACCCTAGCTCCTAAAGAAGCTGTGCTCATAACCAAACCTGTATCTAATCCAGATTTGAAAGACCAAGTGGATGACAAGTATGAATACATCAAAGAACAGAAGAATTCAAAACTCAAAGGTTGGATCTCCGATAAGTCCAAAATAGGATTTTGGTTGATTCAGCCTAGCAACGAATACATGAACGGCGGACCCATCAAATATGATCTCTCTTGTCATTAGGGCCAACTTGTGTCATGGTAAGAACCCGTAAGACTTTTATCGAGGATTCTCTAATGAATATTTCATATTTTCAATACGATGATATCCGTTTATCTGTTATTCCACATGGTTGGTCGTTGTACACATAGATTTTCACGGGAGAACATGTTTATGGAAATGATGTCAACATGGTGTTCAAAAAAGGAGAGGGGTGGAATAAACTTTTTGGACCATTTTTCGTTTATCTAAACTCCGACCAAGATCGTGCAAGCCTCTGGAAAGATGCCAAATCATGGGTATAATTTGTTATTCACTAGTAAAGTTTAATGATTTATTTAACATATGTGTACCTATGTATCTATATGTGTGTAATTTTATTTATTTATGCTTATGATGCTAACATAGTTGGAGAAAGAAAAACAACTTTGGCCATATAGTTTTGTTCAACATAAAGATTACCCTCCAGCTGCCCAACGCGGAAGTGTTATTGATCAATTACTCGTTGACGACAAGTATGAATATCCGTAATCTGTTGTTTTCTTATAGATATTTCTTATCAAAATTTAATTTATTATAGCTAATTTTTTTTATTTTCAAGTAATAATTATATTAAATAACATTTAATAATTTGCATTAACATTTCAGATACATATGTCAGACTCCTAAGGAGGCATGCAAAGCAATGGTGGGTTTGGGAGCGCCCGGTACAACTAATGAAGCATGGCAACGTGAAGCAAAGGTTAATCTATTTTCTTTTAACTAGATTTGAACCCGGCCCGTTGGCCGGATGCATTTTGTAAATGGTTTAACAACAATTGTACTGTTGGAAGCAAGATACATTTGGTATTAAAAAATAATCAAAAAATTATTCAATTATTAGAAACATAAGAAAAGAATATATATAGAAGAAAGTATAAAAATATTCATGCAAAAATTTAATGATAAAATATTTCTAAATATGAAATATCATTTCCACGCAAGTAAAATTTACGTCGTCCAAGTCTTGAACATTGTCCCATATTTGCTCATTCCTCTTATCTTCAAAATTGTGTACTCTCTTATGGTTTACCTTATTTTAATAAATGAGTTTGATGTTGAATTAAGTTCAAATTCTTTATTTTACTTTTTTTAACCGATTTGTATCTTCTTTGTTTTTAACTGGGATTGTAAGTTTTTTTACACATATAAGACGGGTTCATTGTGACCTCCAAAATTATATTTTTAAGATATATTTTTAGACTTTTTCACAGCATTCATCACCACCTTCATTTTAATTCAAATCTTGAAAAAGTTTTCACAGAAGGAACGGATTCATCATGATCTATTGTGATCTACAAAATTATGAAAAAAAACTTTATAGGACCAAATATATAGTTATATACCACCCTTTATAAGGTGGTAAGTGATGGAAGATGATAGTGAAAGGTGATAAATGTTTATTAATATATTTCTAGTATCACATATACAACAATTATACACTAAAATCTATTTATATCACCATCATACACTTCCATATCACACAATGATATAATTTT